AAAAAGTAAGCGTGTTCACGTGGTACTCTTTTTGCCGTTAGTGACACACAATCGGGAACATCGATTGCCATCCGAACACGTCCGAGAAAGTATGTGCGTTTGCACGCGTTATTAAAATTTTTTGTCTGCTTGGGTAAAAACAGGCGTCTTTGTTTAAGATATTTTTTTTAAAGCTGGGCTAAGCTAGTTTGCTATGCCTAAAGCAAATAAAAGGAAAACTCAATTGCATGCTGCAAGAACTTGTCGCGAGCCAAATGTGAAGGCTTTGTGTTCAAGCGATTCGTCAAATGATGAATATTGATGATAAACGTTAACTGACATTGCTGATGTATTAAAATTGTTCTTCAGTCAACTCTGCAAAAGATCAGTTCAATCACATCGTAGAATATCAAATACGAATGTAGACGAAGACTAATGAAATTTTTTTTCTATTTGAAGGTTTTCATTATGCACGTCTTCATTCATAATATAAAGCCAAACATAAAGAGTGATGAATCTGTCCATTAAAGATAAAAAAGATCGAATAATATCGGAACGCGATGTTTTCCCAGAGAATGTTTTCCAGAGACCCTCTGAAGATCCTGAAAAAATGTCCATTCGATCCGTCAGAACTTTTTACCCATCTGAGTAGAGTTTTACTTAGTGGCGTAATCAGGGTAGGGCATGGTTGGGCTCAGCCCAACCACCGGGGCTGTGCGCCCTACCACCGGTCGTTTTTAGAAAATTTTTATTTTTGTAATGCTAGGCAATAAAAAACTGCACGATTGAATTCTCTCTGATCTCTTCTTTAGTTGATGCTAAAGCTTTTTGCATTGCAAATGAAAACTAATTTCTCCTCATTGTGCAATGAAATTTAAGTTCTGAAGCAGATGCTGAAAAGTTAAAAGTTAAACAGTAATAATCTCTCTGTTGAGCCATTTTCGAAGCAGAGAATAATGTAGAAAACCACTTTTAAATGTACATAAAAACAGACAAAAATTCAGAAAAAGTAGGTGTGCTTGTATGACAATCGGGGATCCTAATAATGAGCTGAAAACGGCCACTTTTCGCCTCTTATTGTGCGTTTGAAAGCGTTTTCAGCCAAAACACTTGAAAATGCATTGGAAAACGACAAAAAGAGGTGACTGTTTTACGTACTTCAGAACACGATTTATGATCTCCTCACAGATAACGACTCTGAAAAAACGACAACTTACTGTCTTTTTCTAGTGCACTTACTGTGAATGTATTTACAAGATTTTTTGACTGAAAACCCGTTTAAACGCACGGGAAGAGCTAACAATGATCATTTTCCGCTTCAAAACGCCCGCACATAATACAATATCGAATACTTATAGAGTGATTTACTCGTTTAGAGGTAGAAAACGAGTTCAACATTCATTTCAAAAAGCTAATGGAAAATTTTGCTGACTTCCACCAAAATAGTAAATTATTTTACAGTAAAATCTTGTGAATCATAATTTGTGATTCTTTATTTCCGTTTAATAAGCAAATAAAACATCATTAGAAAAACGTTTTTCAAGTTGAATACATTATTGTATTCTTATTCTATGAAAAGAAAGTCATGCATCATCAAACATATCGTTTTGGAAAAACCTTAGGGCTCAGCCCAACCACCCGATAAATCCTGGTTACGCTACTAGTTTTACTAGATTTGAATAAAAACAGATAGTTTATTCGAACATGACCTTCCCGTTTATGCTATCATATTCTATCTTACCAGCAAAAACGAATTTCCTCAACATAGGAAAGAAGACAAAAAAACGTGGCCTGCAACTTGATGACTGGTGGTATGATGAATCGAACACGATAAAATATTTGACTCCATCACTTACATAGAAAAACTAGATAGGCTTTCAAAATCGACAAATCGCTAGTGCACTGGGCGTGATTTGAAGTGCCATCACCAATAAAATTTTGGGTCTAGAGTCGATTTAAGAACTTCTTTATAGTCAATTTTTAATGCTGAATCTGAAACAAATAGCTTCACGAGCTGAAACAAAAGAATTCAGCAGAAAATTTTACGTCTGTTTTGAAAAGATCTGCTTTTTTCAGCAGACGACACCCTTCCAGTATTGTGTAGTTTTCGACCGGAAGAAAGCATTTGCTAAGATTAAAACATGGATTTTTGTGATCAACAGCTCACGCTCTATCAAATCATGTAAAAGAAAACGAAAAACAAATTTCACTCGAAGTTTGAATTGCTTGCACCTTTCATAAAACATCGCTGATAAGAATTCTAACGGCCATGTCTCGAGCGTTTTCTTTCTGTGTAGACATTTCATTCGGATTAAAAAGATATGGTCTCAACCAAAAATATTTGCTCTTTGCTGATAAGAGCCAGCACGTTAATATTACACAGACTTATTATGCAAATCGTACAGTATGATGCTTGAATTGACTTCATGATCAGTTTCTTTTTTAGAGTAAAGTAATTTTTGATTATTTTTATTCAGTTTCTTACAATCTAAAGCCTTCTTTAATTTCATAACAATGTTGCAATATCTGCTGCGAGACAGTTTAAATTTTGTCTTTTGTGCTAATGTTTGTTCTCTTATATATTTTATAGATATTTGTTAAAGATTGTTAAAAAAAATCATATTTTTCTGTAAAATTATCCTATTCAATAGTTATTCGTTTTCGAAGTATAGATTGTTGCGTAGTTGGACGAGGTTTAACTGTTGGAAGTTTGACACTCATGTCGCGATGTGGTTGTCTTGGCAGAAACGTTTTTTGTCTTGACATTAATACAGTCTCACCAGTTACTGGCTCACGTACACATTTTGTACGTTTTCGTTCTCGAGGAGGTATCCATTGATTCGCTAACAACTCATAAACTGCGCCACCGACGATAACACCACGATTATTTGGTAAAAATCGAACGAAACAAGATAAATCATTGACAATCTAAAGAAAATAAATGTATGAAAAGAGTGAGAAAACAAAAAGTAGACGTTTTTCTTTTTGAATACCGAAAGTCGATGTAAACAATCATTGCTAAATATATTCCAAACGCGAACAGTATCATCATCAGTACTAGCTAATATAGAGCCATCATCATCACGAAATGTAATGGCTTGAATCCATCCTGCATGACCGAAAAGACGAACTCGTACACGATTTGTTTCAAGTTGCCAAATCACAATGACCTTATCCCAACCGGCTGATGCCTATTGAAGACAAACATATGTAAGAATAGATAATAGAAATTAACTTCGAAGGTACAAACTAGATATGGTAAAGTTGAAAAAGCTAATGCACGAACATTTCCAAAATGTCCTCGAAGCATAACTGGTTGCGATGCTGATGGATTGTCAAGATCGTACAGAAAAACAACATGATCATGAGACCCAGTCGCCTGAAAAATATTAAATTAATATTGTTTATTATTTCTACTCTGGTCAATTTCAAAAATGAATCCCAAATAGATAACGAAGACTCGTAAGTATGAGAAGAGATAAATACGTTATGCTATTCATCAAGTTAGGTCTCCTCTAATTATTAAATAAAGGAGGAAACATCGGATTCGCATCTGATTGTTATGTGTACTGCAAAAACTGAGTCGATTTATATATATTGTGAACAATTCTGAGAAAAAAATGTTCTTTGGAAAAAATTCCTGTACCCCCCCCCCCCCTCAGGGATGGTCTGGTCAATAATGACAATTTTTTCGATAACTCAGCCATTTCTTGACGGATCCTTCTCATCGTCGAACTCGACTGAAATATTGACGGTATCATTTTGTGTACAAAATTTCAAGACAATTGGATGAGGCTTTCAAGAGTTATCATGGTGATAGACAAACGGACGGACACACTGACCGAATCTAGAGTGTACTCACTTTTTGAGTACACAAAAAAGAAAAGAAAATCCTCACGATGCTAGTATAATATTGAAAGAAATCTTAACAAATTCATAAAAATAAAATTATAAAAGGAAGCTTTTGTAAGTGTTCCTCAACATAGAAACAAACATTCGTCTCTTCGTTTTTAAAACACAATTAGCAACAAATAGAAATAAAAATCGTTCTTACCATTAGATTTAGTTTGGGATGGAAAGAAATCGACTGTACTGCGCTTGTATGATGATGAAAATCGTAGACCTTTTCACCTGTCTATAAATAAATAAATATTTTTTAAATCCAAAGATAATTAGATCTTTGAATCTCGTTCTTACTATAACATTCCATAGTATTGTTCGTGAATCCCATCCACCACTTCCTATTAGTTGATTGTCTGATGAAAAATGAAGACAATCCGATGCATGCGTATGACCTGAAGAGAATTAATATAGAGAAAAATTTGGTTTCTAGTAAAATATTTCCACCGGAAAGTGTATATATCAACGAGCCAGTTCTTGTTTCATACAAACGAACATTAGTGTCATTGGCAGTTGATGCAAAATATCTATCATTATTCGAAATAGCCAATGCTCGAATAGAACCTTAAGTAAATATGTTCGTTTTGTAATCTATTTTTTTTGTTCATTAACATGCCTGATTTTTCTTTTAATTTAAATGTCAAATGATCGAATACTGTATTCCATAAACGAATAAATCCATTGATTGATGCTGTAAGAAGTATTTCAAAATCTTTTGACAATACAAGACAATTTATTTCATCGTCGTGTCCACCATATAAAGAAATGTTACGATGAGCGAACATGCTTTCTTTCAGTCCCACGTGTATGTTATCAAATATGAGTTTTAATGTTTGTTGTTGTTATTGTTTGGCTTTGCTTCTCGTAATATTTTTATTCTCTGTCATGTCGTAGGAAGCGAACGGCAGAGAGCGATAATACAATACTTGTCGATTATTTTTCTTTTCTTGCTGGCATCTTTCAGTCGTATTACAATTTTTTTCCATCAGATTCATTAGGCAAATACAGAACATTCCTCCAAGGTGAAGATGATGAATTTTGGAACGAAAATAAAAGATTGAAAAAAAAATTCGAGTGAAAAAAAACTACAATAATACTCGAAAGATTGTTGATTTATAGGATTATACTATTCTAGTCCCGAACAGAAGACGATCAGTGGCATCACAAGATTTTTAATACTATCAATGTTGAATATAATTAAATTCTTACTGAATAATTGTTATTCATATTACAAAAGAGGCATGTGACATTGCAAAAAAATTAAGTCCTAGAACATTTGTAGTCTATCTTGCTTTCTACAAGGTCTGCCCGAAGGTTTTGCCCTGCTTCTGAATTTTTTCAATTCAAATGTTGACATGTCGCCTCATTATTTACAAGTATACCGACGAACTGTTTTTCATTTCAGTTACACATACTTGCACAAAGTGTTAATTTACTGTTATGAAACTTGAGTTTGTTCAATGAAGACCTTGTCTCAATGAAAAATCATTGCATTCATGTCATCGGTAATATTGATAGTCAAATATAAATATCTTTATCTGTTATTATTATAAATTTCATGGCGTATCTCTGGTCGTGTATGTTCTATTTCTTATCGTGATTACATTTTTTTGCACTGTGTGAATCAGCATGATACAGTAGAATATAATTCCTGTTTGAAAAATATTGATCATGATAAATACATCTTTATTTTAATTTATTATTAATGTTACACTGCGACACTTTAATAGAATTAAATCTATTCGAATGATTAATCAACTTGATTTCATCTGCAGTCTACTTTGTGATTTTCAGTCTTGGCTGTCAGGTAGATCACTCCAGAAAACATTGGAATAATTAAATTCAACACACACAGTTTTTGTTTTTTTGCATTCTGTAAGTTTAACTTTATTTGTATAACTATGCAACAAAAAATAGTTTCGTTCTTTTTTTGAATCAAATAATACCATGTTTTACTTCTAGTTGCGTTAGTTTATCGTTAATATTATTAAAATATTGTAGTCGAGCTAAAATTTCTGTAGCTTTTGTTAAATCCATTCTGTTTAAGGCATTCGACAGTTCTTTGGTGTGATCATCAATTTTTTGCCGTATGTCAATAGCCAACTCCGTAGGAAATGTTTTCTTATCAGCATTTGCTTCAATCAAATCTTCGTTTATTTCCATGATATAATTGAGAAAACTGGGTTCAAGTTGAACGGATGATTCTTCTATCGTTATGTTTTCTAGTTTAAGTAAATAATGGGCACGAGACAGTGGACAAGACAAAGTTTTGTAGGCACCATTTAGTGCAGCTGACTGTTCTTGAGAATATCTTTTTTCAATCTAAAATTTAAAATATTTTAACAAGAAAGAAAACGAATTTCCACCAAATTGATTTCTACTTACTCACATCAGATTTATTTGAATACAGATCAGGATGTAAATATTTCATTTTATTTCGAAACATTGTTGTCAATCGTTTCGTATCAATTTCAAATGAACGCGATAAATCAAATAGCCGAAAATAGTCGATTTCCGAACAAACCGGTAATAGAACACGTTTTTCACACGGACAATATGATAGACACTCATTTCGATCAAGTTCACGTTGACATTCCCAACATTGTTCTATCAACGGTGCCGTATTGATCGATGAACGAGGAATCACAATCAGTTTTAGCAAACTTTAACAAGAAATAATTTAAAATTAAACAATCTCAAGTACCAATATTATGCATTTGGTGTAGGGCTCTCCTGAATAGTATCGATCAAATATGTTCTACTATTCATGTAGTTCGATCTCATTCAACTTTACCGACTAAATGCAGTAGTAGGAATTCGAAACGTCAGGGAAGTTAGGATTTTGCATTACAAATATACAAAAGAAACCTGAGCCATAGAATTTGTCTACAATGAAGTCTCATATGGTTTTGTCGATTTCCGAATATCTTTACAAATGAAAAGGTTCCAATTTTGAGTAATATGTCCATCTTGATTTCTAATTGTGTCAGTATGAGATAAAAAATCAATGAATAATTATTATTCTATGCGATTGACATCGAGAAGAATTCCAAACAGTAGATGATCTAAGAAAAAATCCTTACCGATGATGAAATAATCTTATAAACATCTAAAAAAGCATTGGCCAGTACACTTAATCAAATCGAAAGAGAAAAAAAATGATTTTTTTTAAATATTACGAATAATCAAATCAATAATTTAAAAAAGAAAAGTAGTGAAACAATTTCAAATATAATCTATTCAGTTTTTGATGATGGTACAACAAAAATATGTGTCGGTATTGTTTTCTCAATTGATTCATCGACATCTTGGGATTGCGGACGAATCATTGATAGTTTAAATTTTGGTAATTGAACGAAACCACAAAGTGTTGCGACTAATGTATACGTAACATCTGATGAACTGTGCGGTGGAACAAGTAAAGATGTCTAAAATTTCATAAAATGAAAACAAGACGTAAATGAAAAATATAAAATTTCATTAATTTACCACTGTACTACCGGAGACAGCAACAACTACATTAATTTGTTCAAGATTAACTTTATATTCATGAACAATATTTGATCGATTATGTATACGATAATTGATTTGAAATGGTTCTTGTAAAGGTACATTATTTGGTATGTTAACTTCAATATAAACTTGCTGTTGTTCAACATTAAAATCCGATAATGAAAATGTTGTACATAATTCCGGAATGTTTGGATGGCTCGATCTAAAATAGTAAATAATTAGGTTAGGAATATTCCAAACAAAAAAATAAAAGCTACTAACCGCTTCCAATATAAACTGTATTCACCGACAAGAAGATTTTGAACAATAGGCGCAGCAATTGGTTGAGTACGAAGACAAAAACCTTCAGCTACTACTTCATCTAATTTCAGTTGTACTAAAATCATATGAAAGAAAATCTTTTAGCATTTCGCGATCAATAAAACCACACGATTTTTATAAAAGTCATTTCATTTCATGCATATTAGCTGATAGTTAGCTGGAAAAAATCAGTATTTTGACATTTCTCGTAAGTCTAAGGACAAAAGTAACTAAGCCTGAAATAGCTCAATTCATATTATATATGTTACAAAAGGTTTTGAATTGCTAAGAAACAGAAATAGAACACATGTTTGAGACAAAGCTTTGGAATATTCCTTCGCGAATAACATGAATCTTGAAGTCAAGTAATTCAATCATCAAAATTTATTTACCAAACACAAAATAATTCTTGTTTGATATCGTGTACGATACTCTAGTGAAAATGATGGCGAATGCATATAATCAAAGATTCCCCGTTAGTCATAATTTCATACAATAAATAATTCACACATTGACTCTGATAAAGTGCCAAAAACTACTTACTATTATCGATTTGTGATTCAATTGCACAATCACTAATAACAAATTGACTCTAATAGATAAAATAAATTGTTATTTCCTTTTTTTCCAAACTCTCATCCGAATCAAAACTCACAGGTTTAAAACTACTGTTAACAATTGTAATTGGTATAATTGATGTACATCTCGTATCAATCATTAAAATAAATGGTTCCTGAGCACGTAATGAAGCAAGAGGTTCCATCTTAAAGAAAATGAAATTTAAAAAAATTCAAGCTATTGTTTCGTTTACCATCATTCCCATTGTTTGAAATTGAATAGAAAACGGATTGACAACAGATAATTGAATCGCGATTTCTTTCATACAATGTAAATTTAATCGTTCATAAGAGAGCTAAAATAATCCTTATGTACATTATTTGAAAACCAAATAAAAAACAAAACAAACCCTAATAGTAATTTCACGAGGACGATTATTATTGCATCTTACATATAAATCTTGATCAATCTATCAAGTTAGCAAGAGAATAAATAGATATTTTATATTTTTAAATTAATTGTTTTCTACTTCGGCAGCTTCAGTAATTGTATCTAATTTGATTGAGCATGCATGTGCTGTTGTTTCAGTGTTGCTATCCGCTATTGAATAAGAAAGAAGACCTATGCAGATGCATGATAAATCTATTAGATAGGAAACTCAATAAATATTCAATATTACTGTCATCCGCTGTTGCAGCGGTATCATCTGAACTTGAACACGTACAAGTCAAACTAAAAAAGAAATTTCTCTGGTTTAGATTATGATCGTTTGAAATCTTACGTTGCTGAATGAATATCAACATTTTCACAATTTTTTATTTTAATTTTAATTGGATAGGATTCATAGAGAAGTGCAGGTAGTTGATGTTCAACAGTTAATTGAACTTCTGCTGCTCGCATAATAATACTGAAAACAATAGTTTTATGGTCTGTTCACTTTTAAATATATCTATACTTTATTTTTCGTCTCATTGGTAAATTTTTCCATAGAACATGGCCAGCTTTTGTACGCCATCTGGGTGTAAGAAATGTTTGTTGAAACGATGGAGTCGTGTGTAAACTTGTTCGCCATTGAAAATCAATATGAGTTTGATCGACTGAACCATAGATCAACGAAACGGATGTTATCTAAATAGAATAATGCATTTTAAAATCTTTCAAAGCAAAATTCTGCTTTTCTTTTACTTCAAGTAACAGTTGAACATGATCACTTTTCGGTGCAAAATTAAAAGATAATATTCGTTGTTCATCTGGCAAGAATTTCAACTGTGCTATATCAGTAACATGAACTAAAGTGTTGTATTCTTTTAAATTAAAATTCAACGATAATTGACTAAATTCAATAGGTAATGGGAAACCATTTCTAAATATCAAGAAAACAAAATGAATTAATTTTTTATTACACTATAAAAAAGAAATTCTCTTTACTTTAATGCAACTTGAAGAATAATTTCACTATCAACAGATACAGCTTCGTGCGTAAAATAAACTTTACATTCCACTAGAAATAAGCAGATAATTTCAAAAGAAAGTTAATTTCGAATAAAATTCCTTACGCAGTCCTTTAAATGCATCAGCGTCGATAGGAATTACTCGTTTTTCAAGTAATGCTTTCCATTGTTCATCTTTCGATGACATCGTAGATTCCACTGGCGGTAAAATATTCTTAAAATATAATTTATTGTTAGACAAAAAAAGAGCGTCTAGAAAATTTTATTTATGATTTACTTTAAGAATGAAATTTTCAAGATTTATTTGAGTTTGATTTTTTACTTGACTTGATAAATTAATATCTGTAAGTGAAAATTCTAGTGTATTTCAAAACGAACAGCAGATATGGATTTACTTGGATTTAGTATTTCAAGAGTAAATCGTATCCAATCTGGCAGATTAACACTCAAATAGGCGCATCTGAACAAAACGAAATCTCATGAAATTATTCTATATTTCAGTGAATTTTTACTTCAATGCAGCAGGTAATACCGCTTCCAATATAAGCCACCAATTTTCACTTCGATATGCTTGCACAATATGATTATAATAACTAAACATTTTAGAATAAAGTCATTCTTTCGTTTACTAAATTTCAATCTACTCTACTTTAATGCTATATCATAATTTTTACTTGATACATATTCCTCGGCTAGGTTGTACACTAGAGAACATCATTGAGAACAAATTTTCTTTAGAAAAATGGTAACCCTACTTAAATAAAGTTTCATCCGATTTGATGAGTGTTTTTTAAAATGAGTTATAGCTTGCACCAATAAAGAAATAATTAATTCCTAAATAATAGAATAATTCAGTTTTTTTTAAATTACGTTCATCTGAAGTAAACATACGGAATGGTTAATACGGGATTCAGCATCTCTTAATGCAGCGATAGCTTCTCGTTCTTTCTGAGCATCAGTAATTTCCATACCTTAAAGAGAGAGAAAAAACATCATTAACGTTAAATATAAGAAAATAATGATCGTAAGCATATAGGTTTCTTTCATTTCGTCGATTTTTATTAACTCTAGAGTTCTTTAGTTATATTAACAAATCATTTTTGAAATGCGAAATCTTCTTGTCTGATATAAATAAATAATACTGCAGACTGTAAAGAATAATAAAACCAAACGAATATAAGATAATGGGAAAAAAAGCATAATATAACTTAGACATAGGACACACAAGCTTATGAAAACCATCCACATGTATATAAGCAAACAAACTTATACTATTGAGTTAAACTGTATAGTTTGTCGTTAGATGAGCAGAAAGTAAAGTTATTCTTTTCTTTCATAGCGTACAGAAGTTCTTAACTAAAGTAAATTCCTATGAGAACTATAATTGCGAAGTTTTCATTTTTACACGCAATAGTATCGTTTGTTTTCTTTAAATATATCGAAAAATAGCAAAGTCTTGTTACAAAAAAAAAGTCAGATGGCTGTGCTTTATGAAGAGTTGGTGGGAGTGAAGTCAGTCATTTGACTAATGCCTTCACTCGGAAGGGACAGCTAGTCTAACAGATATTTCTCGCCTCTTTTGATTGAAGTTCTCTCTGTAAACTAAGTAACTCCAATAGTATGCGTGTGCCGTAATGTAATCAGATGGAATCGTTGAGAAAAAAAAACTCATGGATTATTTACCCTTGAGTTCATTTCACAACTGATAATATCAATATTTGAATGAAACACATTGTAGATATATATATATATATATCGAATATGTGACTCCTAACAACGAAAAGTCGTAGTTTCGAGTTCGCACAAATTTAAAAACCTGTACTAACAACTAGAGGTGTCAGCCGTACGGCTGAGCCGCCGCAGCAGCCGATTTTTCAATAATATCAGCCGCCGCTGCGAAAAAACAAGTTTAGCCGTTGCGCCGCTGCAAGAGATAAAAATTTTTGATAGCGTTATTTGCCGCCGCTGACATCAATACATATGCGATCGAATCGAACATTTTTCTTTTAATTTTCGTCAGTGAATTTTTAACTGAGCCGTCGCCGCCACATAAGAACTCACAAATATCAGCCGACGCCGCCGCTGTGAAAAAAATTTTAAGAATTTGTAGCAGCCGCCGCTGAAGACATTACTCATTCAAATAACGAGCCGCTGGAAATCTTCAAAAATTGAAAACTGTTGCCCGCCGTCGCCGTTCAACCCTTCGGCTGACACCTCTACTAACAACATTTGCTTAGCTAGATGAAAACTTCACAATCGTCGAAATCAGTAATAAATCTCAAAGAATTTTCTATAGTTTAGAACATTCTGCTATCTTCCCATCACCGTTACTTAATATCACATATGAATATTAAACATAGTATAATGTTGTTTGTTTTGTAGAATACAGATAACCACTTAAAATTAGCATAATTTAGCATACCTAGTAAATAATAGCCCATCAACGTAAAACTGACCTTTTTGTACTTTAGTTAAAGTTCTGCCTACAATGTGTTCGCTATTATTTTTCTGCTTCGAAAACGATTTTACAAACTTGCAGAATCTTTTAAGTTCACTCTTGTTTTTTGTCTATGACTTACTTTGATGATGTTGTCTCCATGGTCTTTGTCCATAGAATTCTGTTCCTTTTAAAAATTCACTTGGATCAAAATCAGCTTGTTCAATCCGATTGCATGCTTGTGAAATTTGTTTTCGAGCCATCGATTGATAAGCTGCCTCTTGATAATAGAAACCTGGATGTTGAGTTTGTATTGCTAATGGACAAAGTGTAAATAAATCAGCAAACGTTTGAAATCTAATTCAAAATAAAAATCTGTACATTCTCAAAAACAAATTAACAAAATTACTGTTTCGAAAGCCATGCTTTATGTTCGAAGACTAAATCGGTTGGACCAACTTTACTTTTAAATATATCAGCATGACGACGAAAATGATTAATGGCTTCAACTGGTTGTGATAATTCAAATGAAATGCGACATATCTAAATGATAATAAAATGAATTTGGTGTGACAAAACAAAAGCAAAAGTTTATTTTTATTACTTTATATGTCAAAAACCCAGCAACCATCTTCATTTCAAGTATGTTTGTATCATGAATACGAGCACTTTCTGTTAAATAACTATACGCATTTCTATACGATTTAACAGCACTTGGAATATCTTGTCTGAGTTCAGAAAAAAATCCAACTTTAAATTGATGACGAATATGTAATAGTTGATGTGTTATATTGTTTAATGTTTCTTTATGTTTTTTAACTAGACGAATTTCATTTGTATAATAATTTTGACTACTTTCAATAAATGTTTGTTCTAATCTAAATAAATAGTTTACAAATGAATAAATTTTAAGAGAAAAAAAATTAAATATCAACCTATCGATCCAAGCTGAAAGATTATCTGGTTGTGGAAGTACTGGTAAAACACAGAGAGAACGTTTTTGAATATCAAAATAATTACAAAGTGTATTTGCCATTTGATCACGTTCAGAACTATAGACATCGTCGACTGAGAATAGAAAAATAAAATTAATCGTATGAGAAGTACTTATTTAATTTCTCCATGTCCCACATTAAGATTATTAGAAAAGCGTTATGGAACTTACCGGTTGGAAAACTATTTTTATTTTGAAGAAGTACTATTGAAATAGTAGCAGCTCGGCCATCGAGACTTGTTCTAGAATTCATTTATTAGCATATAAATATACAATCACGATGTCTTCGAATCGATATATACCTGACCATTTCAATTTTACTTTTTAACTCATTTTCTTTATCTTTAAATGATGGATCATTCCAGTCAAGTTCAAAGAATATGACTATTAAACTCGGTACTAAATGCAAATGTTTATGCATCCAATTTGTTTTGAGTATGCCCTTTGGAACGTACCATTCGTATGTAGCACGCTAAGAAACACATGATTTTATGGAACAAAAACAAAATAATGATCAATGAAAAAAACTAAAACTAACTTTTGTTTTGCTATGTGGATATTGTTCATCAATATCAACAAGTCGATAACGAAGTTGTGCATTAGGTCTTTCTTTATCGAGTAATTCCCATATTGAACGATGTACTGGCTGATGACGTGTATCAAGATTTGCTAAACACACAAGACCTTTTGGAACAATAGATAACTCTTCAGGCATAACACAAGCCCAAGCCATATTTAATATAATATGTTAACAGAAGACGTTTTTTATGTTTTAGTTTTTTCGTTGCTTCTAACTGCAGCAGAACTAGATAACCAATCTGATTCATCGTTAAGCCAATAGTCATCTTCTCCACCAATTGTGATTCTTGAAGCACAGCGCCATCTCTCAAGCAAACTGGCAGATATTTTAAACTATATAGAGCTAGTCTACGGTCCTTGAAATTACCCCAGCCTATCATAGAAAGTCTGAACAGAACATACATGACATACTATTGAAAATTATGAAATGCATATATATTTATAATTCACGAAAAATGTTTTTTGTTGTTGTTACATGATGATTTATATATGTATCGAGCTGAATTAGATTCAACCATAAAATGTGAGCTTGAAAGTTTGAACACGAGTATACATAAGGAAAAAAACTAGTTCGAACCCAATGATTTCACACGTAGGATAAAAAACTTCAATAAAAAAAATAAGGAGAAGCTCATGTCTTCGTTTGAGCATCAAATAGTAACCGCGCAAACATGTTTAGTGGATTATTGAGGAAAGAGAAATCAATGTGAAACATGTGAACGTTGTTCCATAATTACTGCTAATGGATTTTCAATAGGTTCTTCCATATCAATGAGAGTCAAACGTCGATCTACTCGGCATCGCCGATAGGCTATTGCCGAACCAAATGCTATCAAAATCACCAATATCGCAACACCGACTCCAATCAAAGCACCAACAAGTCCATCAATACCCTTTGCACCTGGTCCACTCGGATTTGGTTTATCGATTGGACATTTTGATATGATTGATTGTGATTGAGTATCACAACGTGTTCGTGTATTATTCAACAGACAAATTGGTTTTTTTAAGGTAACATCTACGGCGATCGATTCATTTTTATCATTGTAAAATAAGCCAACAATACAATTACATTCGTGTGTTTCATCTAATTCAAGTTGAAGTAGATTAGATGTTTTCTGAAATATTTTATAAAATAAACAAAAGTCACGATCATTGAGCGTATGTCCCAGTAAACTTATTGTTAATGTTTGATTGATTGATTTACTTAAACGTCCTAGTAAATTAACAATCATATTTTCCGTAAGATTTGTATTTGATACATTAAGTGACAGGAGATGAGGCATATTCGGAAAATAATTCTGTACGAAATCCTCATTATCTTCTCGAATAAATCCTTCGGAAATATCAATCACTCTCAAATCTTTTAAAGTATTCAATATTTTTGTCTTAAGAAATAAATCAATTTGCTGTTGTTTTAATACTAAATGTTTTGCATAACTGTACGCGGACCAATCATAATTTTCTACAAGTGCATCAATGGGATTATTACTTAAATCCAGTTTTTCTAAATTTTTTAAAACACCATCAACTATATTCGAAGAAAACACTTTAAAATTACTATTATCACGAATGATTAATTCTTTAAGTACGCGTGATTCTGATTGAAATGTATGAGCATTGATAAGTTGAAGTCCTGTGTTTGAAATCTCTAATGATTCTGTTGTTGAAAGAAATGATGGTAAACTTTTACTTGTTAATTGTGTAAATGCTGGACATGCATGAATACGTAAATATTTAACAGTCGGAGGTTTTTGCACAGTAGTTGAGAATCCAGTTATGCCAGATTGTTCAAAAATTAATTGATCAATTTGCAAATTCTCACCAAAGCAATTCGTATCAAATATTGGACGTCCATTGAAATTGTTTATATTAAAAAATCGTAGGCTATTCATTTTTATTCCATTAAATGCATTTGATTGTAATATTATACTCGATGAATTAGTTGAACGTTCAATATTAATTGATATTGTTGATTTATCCGGAATAATCATACTCGTCGAAAATGCATTCGAACGAATTACTGTTACATTAATAAGATGAATAGTTATTGCATGATTACTAAGAAATGTTAAATTTTGAAAAGCATGGGCTGGAATTTCGTTAAAATTACGAAAATAATAGCTGTCGACCGACGGTAATGATGTTAACAAGGAAAAATTACTATGCTCAGTTTGATTCCCATAATTAGCATCACATATCACTTCATTTCTATCACAGGTGCATAATTCAAGATGTGAACAATTCGACTGAACTGTGTTTAATTGTGATAGTAAAATCATAAAATAGAACAGGCAATGTAAGTACATTTTTGACGATAAGTTAGGTGTGGCGTCTGGCTATGTTAAGAAGTTTTTGTTTCCTACTGTTTTTATCTTTTTATTTTATTTAACGCATTATCATCAGATAAAAGTTAAACTGTAATAGAAAAGAACAAATATTACACAATGCTTCAATTCAACAATATTCTTCTGTTATCAAAAGAACAGTTCATGCAACTTATCAATTGCTTTCAGAGGATTTATTTATTTGAAATATGTGCGCAGTCATTGGAAACAATTTTTAAATAAATAATCGACATGAGAAAAGAATTTTCGCAACGAATAATATGTTCTATTATCTAAATTTGATTATTTGTCTATATAGTAAACGATGAACATTTTAAATAGAATATCTATTTCAGTTTGGTTAAAGTGGGTGGTAAAACAATCTGTTTTTGTTGTTTCTGTTTCAATTATTTCATTCGATCCATGCATGACTTTCTTTTTGACATCTGCGTAAAACATGGTCTTAAGTAATATTTCAATCTCCAATATGAAGCAATGCCCATTGAAATATGAGAAAAGCTTCATTTTTATACGTAGACTTTTAAGAAATCTTTTTGAAATTTACAAGATTGTTTATCCAAAGTAAAAACTAGATAGATTAATTCTAGTGTTCATAATAATAGAAAAAAAGAAAAAATTATTCTACAATTTTTTTTTCTATAATTCTTAATGGTCATAAAGTTTTATGATATTAGAAAACAATACAATATTATTCAGACCAGCTAGCCGAAGTCTTCAGTGTGACCATCATTAAAAGTAATTGTCGATGCGCTTTGCACTTCTCAATCAAGTTTTACTCATTAAAATGAGTAATTGGATTACTGATATTTCCTTCATTTGAAGATCACTCGAGATAGTAATTAATAATTAGTTTCATATTTTTTAAATCCCCACGCAGATTAAAAATAGTGTGCTTGCTTTTACTTTCCCTATATAAAGCGCGAGCAACAGAGTAGCTATTTCATTTCCATTGAATATCATTGATACATCGTACAGCTTTTCAACAATGACCATAGTAGGATATTATAGAGATTTTAAAACAGAATAAAACATGATTTCTTTTTGTTAACATTATAGATCAATACTGCTAGGTTTTCTGCATTTTTAAGAATTTGGATAGTGCTCTTCTCATTGGTACTTTGTATCAATAGTACTCTTGCATCGGAAAATGGCATTTATGATTCCCTACATTTTGATAATGGCGATGATGAATATGGATCTCCTGCAAATCGAGATGCATCATTTTATTCAAAACGGTTGATTCATGAACATGCTGATTTCAATCGACGTGATATTTGGTCTCGTTTATTTCGCAGTGAACCTAGTCAACCGCACATTGCAAGTCGTTCATATTTTTCGCGAAAATTATATGATCATGCTGCAACAAATGGTCGGATGCATACAATATCAATCGATAAACTTGCAATCCCAATTGAACTGCAGAAGGCTCTTTACGCTCACGGCATTGTAGGTCGTTGACTTTAAAAATAAGTTTAAATGAAAAATATTGTCAAAACCTTTTTTGTTTTCTTGCGATTAATAAATAACCATTAAATGTCGTTCCAAATACAAAAGAAAAAATGGGGAAACATTGGATTCGCATCTGATTGTTATGTGTACTGCAAAAACTGAGTCGATTTATATATACTGTGAACAATTCTGAGAAAAAAATGTGCTTTGCAAAAAATCCCAGTACTCCCCCCCCCCCTCAGGGATGGTCTGATCAATAATGACAAGTTTTTCGATAACTCAGTCATTTCTTGACGGATCCTTCTCATCGTCGAACTCGACTGAGATATTGACGGTATCATTTTGTGTACAAAATTTCAAGACAATTGGATAGGGCTTTCAAGAGTTATCGTGTTAACAGACGGACACACAGATCGAATCTAGAATGTACTCACTTTTTGAGTACACATTAAATGGCATTCCCAGTGCAAAAGAAAAAAGAATTTATAAAAGAAATCTAGTGCTGTTGGAAGAATTAAAGAAAAGTTAAAATGTTCAATATTCCGCTCCAGTTATTAATAGACTTTTATTATGGTTAATGCTTCTTTTAAATTAAAGCGTCAGTTCAATATCAATTAAATGTGAAACAGCTGCGCTGTTGTTAACTACAATGAGCTTATGTTATCTTATATAGTATGAAACTCTCATTTTCAATTACTTCATATTTCAAAAAACTAAGAAGGAACAGGCTTAAAGAGCTATTTCTAGATTATACTGATATCCGATCTTGAGTCATATATTACGAGGATCCCTCATGGCCTGTAAGTCGATCGAAACGTCGACTCTCTTTTACTACACGACTTTCTCTTTGAATCTTGCGTCAAAAAAGAAACGAACCAGCTCTCTTTTCTATCACGATGATGAATAATCTCAAACCGATACTGCCCTCTGTCAGCGTCGTCTTCATGACAACTCGTCGATTAAATTTTAATAATGTTTGTTGACAGTAAATCTATAAAAAAGATTCTCTCATATTCATATTCTTTCATGTTCTAATGCCTCAAAAGTAAGTAGATTATATAATCTGATTTTTTGATTATATTATAAATTTCTACTTCAAACTTTATAGACCTAGAGCTCGTCCATTGAGCGCCAGTCGTAAACGACGATATAATAATCGTCGTGCAAGTCTAAATGCTGATTCAAAACCATTCGAAATAGTATCGAATCAATATCCATTATCACCAAAATCTGATATCCTTGTTCCGTCCGGTATAGATCTTCGTACAGCAAAAGAAAAGATAGAAAATCTAGAAAATGGAATGAAAAAACGCAAAGATGATTCAACAGTATTTTATTTATATTTCTGTTTATTTCAAAGCAAATCTGTTGATTTCTTTTAGTCAGAAGAAAACCTGAATGATCTCGTTCTTATACAACTCTACACAAGTCTTGAGTACGGTATAATGTCTATTGAAAATGCTGCGGCTTATGTTAGTCTAAGCAAATTCTATCTAGATCAAAAACGTAATTTCATATTTATATGTAACAAAAAACGGAAGAATCTTTTTTTTACTATTCTACAGATTTTCTACCTCAAGCTAAAGAACATATCGACAAAGCTCATCAAATACTTGAAAGATTAAATATAATACCTCATGATGAACATCTAAACAATAATTTACTTGCGTTTGAAATATATTTTCTATTAATCAAATGTTCTGTTCAAGCAAAACAATGTTTATCTCAACGAGATGTGAAAATTAAAAATAGCAAACATATTAAATCAATTGATACAACACATATCGATCATGATTTGTCTATACTTGAAGAGTATTTACAAAAATTAGAGCATTTAATGGATTCAAAAAATTATAGTACAAAACATATGGATTATCTATTAATGAAATTTGAAATAGCTGTTAATAATCTGAAAGAATTTGATCTTCATATAACGAATTTAATTAAAATAATTATTGAAAGTATTGATAGATATTCATCAGATGATAAAATAAAGAAGAAAATAAATATTTACTTGCGTGCAGGATTTTACTTTATTAATTTTGATGATAAAATTAAAGAAGGCTTAAATTATTATAAAGAAGCTGTTGACTTAGCTGAACAACAAGAACAAGAAAATCCATCCGATATGCATAAACGGCAACTTGCAAATGCAAATTTTCAATGGGCTAAAGCAAAAGTAAAAGTTGATAGTTTAGGAGGCAAATGAATATTTTATATTGATTCAAATTTTTATCTGTTGTTTTCTTTTGTTTTAGATAGTACTGGACAAAAATTTAAGCGTGCTATTGAATTATATAAACAAACCAATGAGGAAAACGATAGAGATATTTTAAAAGTATTCGATGAATTGGCAACTTATTATACAAAAACAGAAAATTTTCAGGTTTGTAAAACGAATGAATAATATTTTCAGAGAGATTTTTTTTTATCTTTTACAAGAATAAATCATGTTCTATGATGAATAGGATTATATCATATAACCTATTTCTTTCGAGTTTCATTATGAAAAATAGTTTTAATATTTGCAAGCTGTATGAAAAGATTGTTTATTTTTATTTAATTTTAGGATGCCTTAAATGTACTTTGCGAAAGTTTACCTGATAAAAAACGATTGTTTGGTGATTTTTCAGACGAAGTTATTCAAACTGAATCACGTATTGGTGCCATTTATTTACGCGAGTGTGAATATATAAATGCTGCAGAACATTTAAAAGAAGTATAAAAAATGAGAAGGTTTTCTTCTTTTTTTTTTAAATCTAATACATTTCTTTTCACAGTGCTTTGATCTACAAGAATTTGCGTATGGTCCCAAAGATCCGCGAACATCCCAAACACGTGATGCACTTGAAATCTTAAAAAAGTATTTGATAATCATCATTTTAAGGAAACCTTTTAAAAAAAAATCGTTTTTTTTTGAATTTTTAAAGGGATCCACAAGTTTCTCGAATGTTTTTCTCTCGTACACAAGATGGCATACGAAAAGATCGACCAGCATTCAAACTAACAAATAGAGTTTCACATGAAAAAGGAGATCACGAATTATTATTAACTGTTACAAAGAAACCACCAATTTATTCGAAAAATTAATTTTGCCATGTGAATATTTGTTTATTATTAAATAATAAAAGGCTTGTATCTCTACTGTATTGCTACACTTTAAAAATACTTGGGATAAACATAAGATTTTGAATAAGCATAAAAATAAGAAAAACCAGAAAATTTAAATACAATAACGTTCTGGTGCCATTTGAATAAAATCGTCAAAGATTTGTGGAACGGTTAGTTGTTTCAAATTGTCCACAGTCGATTCGGAAATTGGAAAACCCCAAAATTTAAATAATGGAACTAAATTATAACCAACTTGCTTAGAAAATGTAATTATCCAATGATCCATTTTTTCTTGATCGGAATGAAGATTCGGTTTAGTTTGTTCGTATTCACGAAAAACATCCTTATAACTTTGCCAACCATATTCTCGTATTAATTGAGCATAAATAAATAAAGCTACACCGGGCTTATTTTTCCATTCATCAAAATTGCATCCTTTTTCAATGTACTTTTGTGTACTGGAAATTTGATCTTGCAACCAGGGATGTATCCATGTTTCAAGATGACAAACTTTATCCATTGCATGTAGAGTAAATATATTTACTGTTACTTCACCAGTACCATCAAATGCTAGAATGAAGACAAGGAGTTTTATTCTGGAACCAAAGGAAATAAACAGCAACTTACTCCACCAGCCTTGTTGCATATTATGCCCAAGCTCATGAAATAAACCCCAAGCTCCTTTTTGTTTTAATTTCTCACAATCCAATAGAAAGCCATCCGAATTCGGATCACTTACATCCATATGTGTAACCACTGGATATCCACTGTCTGAAAATATGGATTATCATGTTTGTTATTATTCGTTCAAAATTCAATAGAAAAAAATATTGAGTTCTTACGCATGTAACCAAGAGATGGTTGTTCATCACAAACAACACGTTCTCGACGTGTTGGCTTTGTTCCTCGTAGATCATGATGAGCGAGTATAATTGCGTCCCAGAATTCTAATACTTCATGTAATTCAGTAGATTTTAGATGTACAACACTTTTACATGGAAGATTAAATACAATATGTCGACCAGCTATATCAGCCCATAAGCCTTGAGCTCTTGAACGTCTGTATTCCCACAATGCAGCATGATTGAGTTCAGTTACATCATAGGTTGGTGCTAATACTACATGATGGAAAGTAACAGTAATCGAACTTGGTCCACCTTCAGGGCTTTGAAAAAATAGTAAACCGCCAAACGCTGAATTTATGTTTACAGAATTATTTACTAATGGTTTACGTATGGAAATACAAGGCCATCGACGATATTCATCACAACCCTATTTTTAGAAGCATGTTTCTTTTATCATTCTATTTCAATATTGACACTTTTCCTATAACATACCCCAAGATCATCACTGTGACATCCAACTCTAGCTGACCATCCTGGTGCTCCTTTTTGTTCTAAAACATCAATCTGAATTGGAATACCAGCAGCAACATAATATCCTAATTAAAGAGAAAAACATATTTTCATGTTTATTCCATTTTTTTCAAGCGATCTCTACCTGAACAGTGCCATTCGCTATCTATCGATTTAAAATGACATCGAACACCAGTTAAAATATTAGGGGGTCGATCGAAATCTCCCGGAAAATGTCGAACTCCTAAATTTCATTATGCAATCTATCAATTCAATAAGTATTTTCGGTTCTACCTGGTGCTTTAATACCCGGTAAAGCGCACATAATTCCACAGATACCAGCCGATTGCTCTCGATTTAGTTTGTCTTTGACCGGGCATTGATTCATTGGTATTACTTCTTCACCGGCATTCATCACAATATTTTCTAAAGTTTCTATGGAAACTCCAGGCAATGTATCCCCTAATTCTTTAATTGCTGATCCAACAATAGAAAGTGTAGTTATATTAGATGGATTATTTGCTAACCCTCGAACAGCATGATAAATATTTTTAAATTCAATTAAGCCTTCACGAAATTCTATTGGATTAGGACAATTAGCATAATTATCTGTGATTTTCACTCCGATATAATCACAAAAACGTGCAAAAGGAAAATCTGACAGAAGTTTGCCACTTCCTTGTAACCAACCCCATGCTGTCGATCCACAAATCAATGCACCACCCCGTTCTAAAAATTCGCACTAAGAAAAACGAAAGACGGCATTGATTTTAAAAATAAAAAAGGTGTATTTACTATATTATTCATAAATGCTTCTGATTTTTCACGGTGACCGTTCCAAACAAGAATTTTTCCGTGTGCTGAAATATCGTTCATGCTTGTAGCTTTATCAATCGATAGAAATTCAGCTTGATGACCTCGAGCAAGCCATCGTCGACAATTTTCAACGAACTGTTGATATTTGCTTTCAGTGTTAAAAAATATTCCTGGGTAACCATTATGAGCAAATACTAAACAGCGACCCAAGCCAAATCGAGTTGCAACAATAATAACATTATTTGAATCATCGCCACATAATACTGCACGAGTATCGTTTGTTAATGGAATCAGTGTACCTGGACAACCGATTTTCTCAATCGAAGATACACCTTCAAACAACAGTTGTGGTGCTTGGTCAAATTCGGTATCGTCCATATTGTTTTCTTGTAAAATCAATATAAAAAAATGACTCGGTTTTATATATATATATGTAGATATTGTTTGATTCACTAGCATGAATCATTCATTGCTTTATATCAAGGCAACGACCAAACAAAATACAGTAGGCCAGGAAAGAAAAAGAATGATTTGAATAAACTAACACCATCTGATGCATCACTAAGTTGTTTTTCTCTTTTAGTTTGCTACAGTGTTAACATTTATATGTCACTATGTTACGAAAAATGAAGTAACAGATTAATGGAACTTCTGGCGCCCGTTGATGGGCTATTTCTATCATTATTTATTCGTGAAAAAAATTATAAATCGAGTGTTTGAGCTACCCATTGACTATATTTATCTTGTCGAAAATTTCAATGTTGACGAGCTCATGAATAAACCTTTGACAAGTGTCACAAATATCGAAATACAATAGTAAAGGCTATTCATATTTACCATTTATTCTCTATATTTTAATCGTTATTGGATGATTGAGAAAGACTATTTCTCTTTCAAAATTGCTTATGTTGTTGAGATTACTTTTCTTTCCAGCATACATTTAATGAGAGTAATCAAATCTACTGAAAAATAAAACATTGAATGAGCCGAGAAACAACACAAAATAAAAGTCGTAATAGAATTAACGGGCGTATAAAACGAGTAATTACTCGAACAAAATACTCACAAAAAAGCAATGCAATATTACCACCCAAGTTCACGCCTTTACGCAGCTATTTCTTCTTCGTTTAATATAAATGAACTTGTTCTATTATTCATAGTACAAAGGAACAAAAGAGTTGCATATAGTCAATATCATCTGAAATGCTTTCAAATTTGCAACTGAATCGTTAAAAACTGTCAATAATACATGAAAATTGGAATGTGACAAAAGAAAATCTATACAAATTGAAGTTATGTATTTGTTTTATTCCCTTCGTTCTCAATGGCGCTTTGCGAACGCAAATATTTCTTAAAATCAATAATATCTCTGCTTTTTGAAAATTTAGCAGCATCCTTCGTTTTTGCCAAGTCACCTTTTTTATCATTAAATCTATTTTTTTCATTTTGCAGCTACAATTGAAGAGTAAATTTTGATTTGCTACTATTTGCAGTAGTGTCAAACTTGAAACTTGAATCCAGTTGAAAATAGAAAATTTCAACTTTCAACTCATAGCGATATATGTGTGAGTCACGATTCTTCAAACTGCTATTGGTTTAAAAGTTGAAAATTTTCAATTGAATTCAAGCGTCAAGTTTGACATACGTGTATATTACTATTTGATACGTCAATATCATTCATTGCTTATTCTTCCATTTTAAAAAAGAAAACTTGACAAAATATATGACTGATAAGTAACCGAGCAGTTGAATCAATCAGTATGATTATGATATTCCAATGAATCATCGTATAATATGAAAATGAATGACGCCAGAGAACAAAGATAAAGAATAGTTGAAGGCGTTTATTTTACTTACCTACACTATAAAAATAGACTAAAATGAAACAGAAGATATTTCATTTCGATTTTTACATTCAAAACCAAATCTAGCCTAAACACAAATAGATTCAATGCCAACTGGCACACTAGAAGTTATTATTGCCGACGGACGTCATCTTAAAGATCGTGATATTATCGGTAAAAATGATGCTTATGTCGAAGTTTATTTAGACAAAAAATATAAGCAACGTACAACAATTATAAAGAATTCCAATGATCCAATTTGGAATGAACGATTTTCATTTAATATTCATAAGGGCGATGATACAATTCACTTTGATGTTTATGATGATGATCTAGTTGGTCGAGATTCAGTTGGAAATTGTAAAGTTAAATTGAAACATGTCTTTGATGGCCGTAAATTCGATGAATGGGTCAAATTACCAGCTAAATTAGGCCTTTCATCTCATGGTGAAATTCACATCATTATGAATTTTACGGTAAATTAAAGGATTTATTTTTATTTTCAACTAATAACTATCTTCTTTTTATAGCCAGTGTAATTAAAACTCCAACGGCAACACTCAATATGACTATTACTCTTCAATTTTGTTTTTGTTTTTTTGTAAATAAAAATATTATTTTTCTAAAGAAATGTGTTAGTGATCAAAAATCATATTGCAATAGTGTTGTTATCGGTGATAGAAAATCGAGTGAACATGTTTATTGATGTTTCAATATAATGCATCTTGGTATACGTTGATTGAATATTTTATATACTTAGTTATTCCTTGATAGTGCTTGATTCATGTTGACTTAACAGCTGTGGACATCAGTTTCGCTTTATAGAAAGAATATGATGAAGGCCAAATGCGACAATAAGTTGTTGATTTCTAAATTTTACCAAGTAAATATTAGTCAAGACTATTCATATCCTATTTGATATCAATGTATCTTATGTTACTAATAGCATTAGAAAATTAGGATTGTGGACTAAGTTCCTTTATTGTCTAGTAATCATTGGGGACATCTTACACGTAGAGACTGTAACTACTATCTAATCTATTTTTAATTGATTACATTACACATCTTTACCAAAAACTTTTTCATGATAGTTATAATAAATTTTTTCAACATACGATAGATCGCTTATTTATTTATTTATAGCGATAGACATCGTTTCGTTGACATGTCAGCGTCATTCTAATAAAATAATATTTTGCTCATTGTCTTTCGGCTTCTTCTAAATACAATTGAAAGTAAATATTGAAGTATAGAAGAAAGAATTCAACTTTGCTCCTTCGTAGGCTGCAAGTCTATCAGATCCCATTATAGCACATGATCTACTTTCGTATTAAATTGCGGGATATACTTCGTAAAATGATAACGAGAAAAGCTATTCTTAACTGAATTAGAGTAAAACAAAGCGTCGTTTTTCAAATGTTAATCCTGGAAAGATTGACTCCAGAGATAATTTTAATGCGTTCGCTATTTCTTTGTCTCTGTTTTCATTAGATTGGATAGACTTATTGACCGTTTGTAATAGATTATTTTAGTTGCTTGAGTTAACTATAGAACTATACTTGGCATTCATTCATCAATAATAATAAAAAATATTGATTGAACTAAAAAACTTGCATTAATGATGTTGTTTAAAACTATATCTATTCAAAGGAATATTCGATTTGGAACATTTTTTTACTTATAAAACAATACGAAGAATTACGTATCGAACAGATTGTTTATATGTTATCAACATAAATGAATAACGTAATAGATTTTAAATCTTTATAATGACGGCTTAGATGATTGTCGTTTCTATGGTAATCGAATGTGCTAATGTAGATACTATTATCAAAGCGGCATTGTAGAATAATGATTTAAGTTATCTGGATAAAATTTAATACGTGATGAAATGATGAACTTGATATTTCTGTTGGTTATAATTGGTTTCTTAAATCAACATATTATATATATATATATATGTAGAGAGAGAGAATAATCTAGCTATATGATCATTGATACAATGTGAAGGTCGAGAATAAATGAAGTACAATAGCACAAGACGAAGAACAAGGCTCGTGAAGACACAAAATAGACCCGAAAGAAAGAATATTCATTATATTCCACAGCAGTATAAATCTTGAATATGCACAGTATCAACTTCTATTCATGTTTGTTTTTCGTGTGAAGGTCATAAAATTTTCTCTATGAAGTTATTTCCCAATGTAGTATTAACAAATTTTTATCTACGTATCTCGTTTGCAATCACAAATCTAAATGTGTTTCATCGGAAATGGCGAGGGTGTTCATCTCTGAAGTAAATATCAGACATAAATAATTAGGGCTCAATGCAGCCAATGTGCGCTGCTGTATTGCTAAAAGAATAGACGAGATGGAAGTTATAGATATGCTCAGTGGAGTGATAGATTTTGCTTTTATTCACGATCATATAAAGTTCATGTAGCGCCGAGAATTACTAGGATCCCAAGCGATTCACAGATGCTATATTTAATCAGTTGTTCAATATCAACATGGACGCCTACCGGTAGACTTATTATTACTTGTAATGTGAACATGCTTACAAGACTGATACAAATGGAAGTCAGGCGGCCTATAAATATTTTACATAAAAGAGAGTATTAAATAAGTTCTACATGATTACTGGCTATCTATAAATCATTGAAAATAGGAGTATTTTATTTATGATAGAATGTAGAAGAAGCACTTTACTAGAAATTTAGCATTAGTGAAAAATCTGTCTACTGACTTAGATAATCGCGTGGAGAAGAATTTTAGAAGTTTTCTGTCAAATTTTCTTACGTATTTGTCATTTGGAGAGTCTTAATCAATTGTAATGAAAATTAATGAATAGAATTTTATTTAACATGGTAATAACAGGATGTATTCTTACAGAAAAAAGAAGCTTACATATATCATACAACTATTAAAATAGAATTACGTATATATGTATGATTACCTATTAGATGTAGTGACTACTTAGAAATAGTACTTTTTTGCCTATCGGGATATTAACATAGAAAAATTAATTTTCTTAATTTCGTCTAGCTATTCAAACTATACGCGTCAGATGTCCGCGAGGGATCGCAGTACGTATACAAAGAAAATAATTATTTTAATTTCTGTTAAGTTTAATAGGTTTTCATGCAAAAACTTGAGATTTATCAATGTTTTTCATTTTCATTGTCTATGATAAGGATATCTTAAATACTTCGTATTGTTTTGTTTTAGAGCGCACAGCCACAGAATAAATACTTTCCGTGAGTAAATGTTACATGCATAAGACATTTATCTAAATGCAATAGAAAAAGAAGTTAGCATGGAAGTAAAATAAAGAAAGTATACAGAGTTATCTTATAAAACGAAATATTCAATTGAATTGATAAGTAGAAGTCAATTTATCGATTGTACCATATGAGATTTATCATGAAATATTAGGTAAATTGATTTATTTTTCTGTATAATTTAGATGTAACGTATTGAAAAATAAGGTCACGATGAAAATTCTTCCTTAGTCCAACAAGTAGACGACCGAATGCCAGGTGTTAAATGTGAAGCTAATTAATTAATTAATTTGATATTTTTTTTTCATTTTAAAATCTAATAGAATATTTCTACTACTAATACGAATGCATGCGTAGGAAGATGAAAAGGAAGCGAGAGCTATTTCTGTTACCTTGTATTTTATAAGTATTTACTTGTCGAACTTTTTCTTTATATTAACTCATTTTCTAATATCTGCGTTCACGTTAGAAGAAAAAAGTGTATAAAACAACGATAGCCAGTTTTTACGATAGGTATCTTGTCATCTCTCTTTTACTATTAAAATGACTATTTTTAGCAAAACTCAGTTGATAATATTCATTTTATTGCGATAAAAAATGTTGCGTGAGAAAACGAGTAATAATTGACTTTACATATTACTACTCCTTCATTTCATAGATGTGCCAACAAACGATAGAATTCTGTTTATATGAAATATATTTTTAGACTCATTGATCATTCTTCTTATCATTCTCAAGTCTATTATAATGATTCAGGTAGTAATATTCGAATGTTAACTTGCATAATTAAAAAAAATAGAATTTCGTTTCATTTCAGTTAGCTTCTTATTCGCATTCAAATTATAATTTTTTAACTCTTGTTCTTTTCACTCTTGTTTTTATCAATATAAGTCGAAGTTCAGTCTATGGTATTATTAGTGAATATGATTATGAGCAGCCATCATCAATCGGCGATGATTTATCTTATGAAAATATTGGAAATAGTGAATCACCCATTCCAATGAATCCAAATAGCTTTTATACACCTATTGATGAGGAAACAAAATCAAGAAATCCTTGGTCCGAATTATATCATCGTCATCATGCTCGATCAATAGTCACATCATCACACTATGCATTAACGCTGCCTGGTTATGTTATACGACCAGATCAAACTAGTTATGTTCCATATCCTGCTAAAAAACGCACGATTCCAATTGAACTTCAAAAGGCCTTTTTCGCTCATGGTATTGTAGGTTGATGACGTTAGATACGAATTTTTCAAGTACAGAAAAAAAGTGAATGTTTGAATTTCATTTTTGATTTATTAAGAATAAATAAATAAATATTCTATACCTCTAAAATGAACAAATGATTTTCAAAGAATTGTTTTTCATTCCTGTTGATTATCATATTTATACGGAATTTTCGGCAAGCCAATCGCACAATACTACCGAGTCTTTTGAAAAATTGTCACCATTGAATATATTGAGTGCACATCTTTACTAGCGATGCTCCGAAGTACCCTGTACCTCAATTGAAATGTCATGCGGGAAAAAATATGATGATTAATATTGCGTGTTTGTGATTCTAATTATATGTCAGCATAGTGTTCATTAGTATTTTTTATAATATGAGATGAGGCAAAAAACCGAAATTTAAAACGCTTGATTTAAAATTGGCTTAGTAACTCAGAAACATGACATATATTTCATGTTGACGTAAACAGTGAACTAGAGTTTTACACTCATATGCTAGAAAGTCTTGTTCATTTTACCTCGACGTGACATCTGCATGACGCGAGTCTAGATGACAAAATCATGCAGCAATACGGAAAAAGAGGAATCATCTTTTTCCAACACACAACTAAGAAAGATGTCAAAATTTTAAAATGATTTATTCGATCAATTTTGATACTGTTCATGTTTTAATATGAGGTGTGAACTTATCTCAGTTTTCGGTTCATTATTGCTGCTGTGAGAAATTCATGCTCGTGAATTGGATATTAAAAAAGAATAGAAGTTACCTATGAATTATATCGGGTGCGCCAGAAATAATGGCACACTTTGTATTTCGTGAATATCTCGCTCAGGTTTGATTGTGAAGAGCTAAGGTTAGATTCAAAAGATACACCGTTAAATTCTCTACAAAGATTGCACCAAAAGTTTTTCACTACAAAGCGAAACAAAAATATGAGAACAAGAATACTTAACATGTCCAAAAGGCCTAACTTCCTAACTCATTTTTTAAATAATATTTGTAATGTTTCTTATAATTTCAAACACAACAAAAATGGTAATGAAGATTTTTTTGAGTACTTCGAAGTGTGCTCCTTCTCGTCACGAAGCTCACAGTTTGTTTGAAGCAAACTGAAGATTGAAAATTCTGACTTTTGAAAATCCTATTAAAAAATGTTTCAATTCTGATACGTTTCGCCAGCTGAATTCAAGAAGAGAATTTATGCTCAACTTTCATCTCTGAATCTGACACAATAGTTAGTTTCCATCAAAATAAAGAAAAACCGAACGCAAAAGATACTATTTTGACGTAGGTATGTCTATCTTCCCACGATCCCCGAAATAGCAGATTGAAAAGGCTGTAATTTCTCGAAAACTTGGGAAAGAAGATTATTGGCGTACGTCGTAAAACTAAGCACGCAAATTTTCCAATTAGGTTGGGTCGATAGAACTTTTCGAGGACTACAAAATGCCTGTATTGTTTATTATTGCGGCCATTAGCGAACGAGAAAAAATCAAAAAAGGCTGCTTTTTGAGCTTAGAAAATTGGTCCTTATGAACCTGTTGAATATTCTTGTTCTCATATTTTGTTTCGCTTTGTAGTGAAAAACTTCTGGTGCAATCTTTGTAGAGGATTTAACGGTGTATCTTTTGAATCTAACTTTAACTCTTCACGATCAAACCTGAGTGAGATATTCACGAAATACAATGTGTGCCATTATTTCTGGCGCACCCGATATATAAATTTGCGAGCACTTCGCTCTCGTTTGTTGCAACTAATTCATAGGAAAGCAAAAATCATACAACTAGTTCTCGACTGCACAGTTTCGAATTATTCAAACTGTTTCAATCATCAAAATACTTTTCGTACTTGAAAAGTCTGCACAAACTTATTCTGCAAATTATCATTTTTGTTCAAGTGCATCTTGTAATAGAAACAAGTAACAAGCATCTTCTTATACAATTTTTATTTTAAAGGAGGATATCGACTGTGAATATTATTAGAACAACTGTACTGATTTTAAAGTTCTCAATAGAAGCTCTCTCTCATTTCTATGATTGTAGTCATCTGATAACCTAACAGGGCAATGCTAATTGCTATATTACGCAGTTAGAATTGCATTGGTGGAGCGATATCCATCATAAATATTGCCAACTGATTGATTCATATTATAAATGCGTGTGACTCTCTCTCTCTCTCTCTCTCTCTCTCTCTTGCCAAGTTTATCTAAACGACGCATTAATTGTTTTCATTAGATTGATGGTTGGAAAGAACATAAGATATTGTCAAATAGGTTTTTACCCAGAAAATTACGAAATATCAGAGGAGAAACCTATGAAATAGTTCGTTAGTCAATAAAAACAATATTTTTCTTATCATTTTAATGACCTCTTTCGTTTATTCATTATTTAATTGAGTGAAAAATAAAATATTAATTGTCATGCATCTACATCAATAGATATACTCATGAAATATAAAACAACCCTAGCCCTTCCATTCTGTCGTTTTCTATTTCGCTATGGATGAGTGCTTTTTTTTCGTTGCTGTTTCAGCAGAGCGGTACATGTACATGAAATAAAAACACTCTCGGCTATCAAAAAGTCAATGTAAACAACTACGCTAGAAGAAAAAGAGCAATATAAATACGCAATTATTCTTCCGTCTGCCTAGAATACTTACGCTTTTCTTCTGTGTCTCTACATAGTTCGTTCATTCGATAAAATTATTCGATGGCGACACCTGACATCAGCAAGAAAAATCCAGAAACTAAACTTTACAACAGCCATGAACCAAATGTCAAAAGCAGTCTTCCCCATGTAAAGAAACCATCGATTAAATATTCTAATGGTATGTATTCTCTCTTGATTGCTTTTTGGCTTGAACAAAAATACTGTACAGATTGATGCCTTGTTAACAAGAGCTTTTTCACATAAAAATGCTACAATTAATTTTTGTTTTCGAAAGCGAAGATTGTAATTTTCATTTAAAAACGATGCACATTCAAAAAGTTGACTAGCTGCATTTATTTTTTTATTTTTCGAAAGACATTACATTAAAAATAAGAAAACTCTAGTTCAAATGAGGAAAACACTCGAGTGCATGATGAAGAAACAATTTTATCTCTGGTATTTACTGGATTGTAGACTGAATGTTGCTCTATTCTATTGTAGTACGTACCTCTACGAGATCGATGAAGTCGATAAGTCCTAAACAGTCTTCACCGAAAAACTCTAATCGTAGCCGACGAGTTTCAATTGTTGCTTCTCTCTTGGAAAAATCAATACTTCAGAACTTCCTGCTGATCTGGCTCGATCCACATATTGATAAATCTCAAAATCAATATAAAAAACCATTAGCAGAATTACAACGTCTTGTTGCCTCGATTAATACGTTTACTACAATCGATGACTGTATCGATTTTATTGATGGAATTCAAGAAACTAAAGTGTTTATGATTGTTTCCGGATCTCTTGGGCAAAGCATCGTACCACAAATTCACGATAAGACACACGTAGATTCAATTTATGTCTACTGTAGAGACGCTGAGCTTCACAAAAAATGGTCATTATCATGGTCTAAAGTTAAGGACGTGTATACGAAAACTGAACCGATTATTGACGCACTAGAAATAGATTTAAAACGATGTGATCAAGATTTTATTGCAATAAGTGTTAATGGCATCGATCCATCGTTCATGTATAGTCAGTTACTCAAAGAAGCTCTCTTGGAAACACAAGACGAGGATGAAAATCACAAAACTATCCAAGAATTCGTTGAATATTGTCGCCTTCAAGATGGTTTAGATGAATCGCAAATTTCGAAACTCGAACAATCATACAATCGTTATTCACCTATTTATTGGTACACCGCTCCATATTTTCTCTATTCAACGCTCAATCGTGCACTACGCGTACTTGACGTAGATATTATGCTCAAGATGGGCTTCTTTATACGTCATCTACATCACAATATTCAACAACGCTTTAATTGTATGAACTTAAAGTCATCTCAATTTACTGTTTACCGAGGACAAGGCTTATCGAAAACTGATTTTGAAAAAATAAAAAAGGCAAAAAATGGACTGATGTCATTTAATTCCTTTCTATCAACTACTACTGAAGAAAAGGTCGCTGATAAGTTCAGTCGCGCAGCTTTCAAAAATGCTGAAAATGTTGGCATACTCTTTGTCATGACTATTACTCCATCTCTCTGCAATTCGACTCCTTTCACATGCATCAACGACGTCAGCTTTTACAGAGATAAAGAAAAAGAAATTCTTTTCTCTACACATACTATATTTCGCATCGGTCAAATCGAATCAATGAATCATGATAATAATCGACACTGGCGAATCCATCTCACCCTAACCAATGATAGTGACAATGATCTAAAGGATCTTACAGATCTCAAACGGAAAGAACTTGCTAGAATAAGAGGAAAGTCACGATTAGGGCAATTACTGATTTTACTTGATCAACCACTAAAAGCCAAGAAATTCTACGAAATATTACTGCAAGAAGCACAGAGTAATGCCGATAAAGCATATTACAACCATCAGCTCGGAGGCGTGCATTACAAGATGGGTGAATGCTTGCAAGCAATCCAGCATTACGAAGCAGCATTGAAAATCAATGAAAACAGAAACCCAATAAATCATAAATATGTAGCACAAGATTATCAAGGTATTGGGGCGGCTTACCATCGAATGCAAAATTTCCAACAAGCACTTTCGTATTATAATAAAGCTCTTGATATCAAAAAAAAATCGCTAAAGCCAGACCACCCAGATTTGATCAGTAACTATAACAGTACCGCCTTTCTGTTTGTTGCGATGCGACAATACGAGAAAGCATTAATACTTTTCAAGAAAGCGTTAGAGATCAGTGAAAATAAGTTGCCAAAATTGGATCCACGGTTGGCTCATTCCTATCATAACATGGGTTTAATCTACGGGCAAATGGGTAATCAAGCTGAGGCACTGTCATATATGAGAAAAGCATATAAAAAGTTCAAAAAAACATTACCTTCGAATCATACAAGTTTAGCTGATTTGTACAACACCATGGGTTGCTTATACCACAAGATGTCGAATTACAAAAAAGCACTTTTATATTTCAATAGATCATTGCCCATTTACCAAGTAACATCACCTACGGATAATATATCTGTGGCTGACTGTTACGCTAATATTGGTATGGTATATTTCGATATGAACGATTTTAGTACTGCATCTCAGTATTATGAAAAAGCACTCAATATCTACCAGATAAAACTTCCGTCTTCACATTATGATCAATTAGAAATTCAACGGAAACTAGAATTATGTAGAAAATATATGCAGGACCAAACTCCTCATAATAATCGCAAAACGCCGCCAATTTAACATCAACAACTTTTTTCTCAGTTGCTTCTTTTTTAACGAGGATATCTTGTTATGGACCCACTACAGAGACATAGCAAAGTCGAATAACTATCCAATACGAATCAAAACTAACACTGGTCAGACAAAATAAAGATAAAATGAAGCGACATATTGAACGATGAATTGTATTATAAAGTGATGTGTGTATCAGAAAACTTAATAAAATAATTTACCGATTATTTTTCATGAATATTTTACGGAGAGCCGATCAGAGCTCACTAGATTTAATGAAGTTACATTATGCATAGCTTTTTGTTTTCGTAAATTTGAATACATTAACAAAGAAATTGTTATTGGTGTGAATTTGGGTAGGTATCGTCTAGAGTCCTGCAGGTTAAGACTTTTTTGTGTCCTAACCCTGCCCTATCATAAAACTTCGTACCCTTGTCCTGCCCTGCCCTAGGGGCTTTGTACCCTTACTCTATCCTATCACAGAGATTTTTCATTTTACACCCTATCATATCCTTAGAGTATCAGGTCCAAGTAAAAGTCAGCATGAAGTTTTTCTTCACTTTGTTTCAATATATTTTATTGATTTTCAACGAGAATCAAATACAAAATTAATAAATATTTCGAAAGTTTCTTAAAAATGAAATGTCATTTACAACATCACCACTTGAATGTTGCCTTCTCTCTTCCAAAACTCGCCTGTTTGTACTAACAATACGTTCATGTCGAGATGATTTCGAAGACATTTTTTATTACATTTACATGCACATTTACTCGACAAATAATCAAAAGTGACTGAACTCGTCAGCTTATGTAAAAATAATACTACACAATAGGCCATTGTTTTCCGTTCGTTGTTATATTCTATCCATTTGATTTAGATTATGATATCACTCTTTCTTTACACTGTTTTTGATCAAAAAGATGTCAGAAATATATATTCAGTTCTACTCTATAAAATTTTTATTTGTATGAGCTACACCCTACTTATACCCTAAATATTTTTTTTGTAACCTTACCCTACCCTGCCCTGCAGGACTCTAGTATCGTCGTCATCATCAAGCTCTTCGGTTGTGCCTAATTTTAAAGAAGGCACAGAAATTATCTTATAATGCTTTTAAAAAATGGAAGAATGAATATCCATTTGCTAGTGAAAGTATCTACGAGACTACTATTCTAATTTATCAGAGATCTGTTTTTGTTTTTTTCATGATAAACTCAATTATGTTGATGCTCGTATTAAACTACTTGTCAATCTTATTTCTACTGATAAAAATATCCAAGCTGCAATTAAATAAATATCATTGTACTTCCGTCATAAACAGATGTCGTGTTCTACCAGAAAATATTCAAATAAATACATGACTCGTCAATAATGATTCACATGTAATATTATTTTCCTGTTCTGTTTCTTTTAATGCTTTTATTGTAGTTTAATAAATTTTATAATATTTCGATATCGAAAATATTTTCGTTGAATTTTGAAAGAAAGCTAACTATTTTGCAATAACAACTATTCGGTTTACCGCTGCATTTTATTATTGCAATCATGCGTCAATATGAGTCTTCAACATCAATTTTAACAAATGACAAGATGATCTATTACTTAATGAATGAAGATGATGCTCTACAAGACATGGCAAACACAATTAAAGAGATAAAGGAAATTTTAGGTTTATCATCAGTAGCAATAGTACGCTTATTACTCAATCATTTCCATTGGGATCAATATACTCTGAATGGTAAAGTAACTATTGTAATTGGTTAGCTAGATATTTTATATTTTATTAGATCGTTACTGGGAGGATCCTGATAGATTATTTCGAATATTGCATCTGACTAATCCAAATACATCAGTAAAAATTGATTTTAATCCTCAGTCACCATCATCGAATGTTGAGCAAGATCCATCATTAAAATCAAACAATCGTGAACTTGTTACATGTAGCACGTAAGAAGTATTTATTTGCTAACAAAATAATTCTTTTTCTTTTTGTATTGAAGTTGTTGTGTAGAAAAACCTAGAAATGAATTCTATTCATTATCTTGTCGTCATCAACATTGTTTAGCATGTTGGCAGTCGTACCTTGAATCAAAAATTGTACACAGTCCCGATGGGAAAGTTATTTCATGTCCATCGAACTGCAATCAAATCGTTGATGACGAACAAATTTTTCGCTTATTATCTAATAACGACCGGTTAAAAAAACTTTTTCAAAAATTATCAGTAAATACATACGTCGAAACAAATCGTTTAACACATTGGTGTCCTGGAAATGCATGTTCAACAATAGTAAAATTACAATCTGCTTTGCTTGATAGTGCACAAATGATATCCTGTGATACATGTAAAACGAGTTTTTGTTTCCAATGTTTACATCAATGGCATGATCCAATTCAATGTTCACTATTACAAAAGTGGGAAAAGAAAAATCGAGATGAATCCATGACTTGTGAATGGATTGTAGCAAGTACGCTTGAATGATTAAGATCAATTTGAATAAAAAAAGATTTCATTTCTAGATACTAAAGATTGTCCGAATTGCCATGCGAGTATTGAAAAAAATGGTGGTTGTAATCATATGAGTAAGTCGGACATTGAGTTTTAACTCAAAAAAAATAAAGTTTTATTCGTTGTTGTTTTTTTCTAGCTTGTCGAAAGCCAGGATGTAATTTTGAATTCTGTTGGTTATGTTTTAGTACGTAAAAATATTTACTCATTAATTATCGTGTAAACGAAAAATAACTTTAAACAAGTGAAAACCTTCTGTGTAAAAATTCGTACATTCATATGTTTTTATCATTCAGTAATCATAAATGATAAATATATCTAGAAACAATAATGCGTTCAATGATTTAACTCTAGTGAAAATGCTATTTTAAAAAATTTTCGTTCTCATAAGATTTCACTCAGGAATCCAAAAAAGTATTACACTCGTATATCTTGCTTCCGTGTTGGTTATAGCTTAAAATGCATTTGAGTAAAACTTTTTCGCAAAAGTTTTCATTAACGTGCTTTTTCTTAATTTACCATTTGTTTTCGTTTTGCCTTAGATCCTTGGAAAGATCATGCATCTAGCCAATGCAACGTTTATAAGGACGAGGATAATGATAAAAATAAATTATCGGCCCGTGAAAGTCTTGCACGGTATATGCATTATTTTACACGTTATCAAACACATAATCAATCGCTTGAATTAGAAGGTAAGCTTTCAGAACAAGCTGAAAAACGAATCTATGAAATGCAAACGGAAGCACAATCATACACTGCACAGCAAGCGATTTATAAAGCATTTAATGTTTTAAAAGAATGTCGATGTACATTGAAATACACGTACGCATTCGCTTATTATTTACATCGAAATAATCAAGCTGAAGTATTTGAACAAAATCAAGCAGATTTAGAACGAGCAACAGAAGCTTTATCCGGTTATTTAGAACAAGAAATTGATTCGGATCCGAATCTATCAATAAAATTAATGGATAAAACACGGTATTGTGATCAACGACGACAAATTTTACTTAAACATTGTAAAGAAGGCTATGCTGAACACTATTGGGCTGGATTAAATCCATATTGAACTGTAAAATAACTACTTTTTTTCCAATTGTTTTATTCATCCACATTTATTTTTCTTTGCTTTACTGTGATCATAGAAACGAATTATTTTTATTCATAAAGAAATATTTTGCGAATACTTTTTGTTTAAGATGACGAGTTATACATTAGGACAAAAACATATTGCACCTGTCAAGCCAGAACGTGGCGTTTTCCTTCTAGATCATGAAGGTTCTCATGATTTATTTTTCTAAAAATGATTAGAACTAGTTGTAATTATTTAGGTGAATGCAAAGAAAAAATGTTGAAATATATGTTGTGTTGAGCACGTAATGATAGTAAAAACGTCAAACTGAATCAAAAGAATATTTTCAATGTCGAATGGATCGGTAAACAGCAAATTTTCTCTCTGATTGGTTTCTTTAAGTTTGATTTCACGTTTAGAAATTTAATGAAAAGACATATTCATAGCAGTAATCAACAAGGCATAGAACTTCTGGCGAAATAAAAGCTGTGTTTCAATAGAGTCCATTGAAATGCAAATAGGCAGTAGTCGAAAACATAAAATTTAATTTAGATTCTTTGAGTATTTGTCGTGAATTGGTAGCTCATAAATGTTAATGTAGAGAGTATTTTTCTGTAATATGGTTTATATGATTCGACTACTTACACCATCATGTAGCCATGGAACTTTTCGTTCATCGATGATATTAAAGTATCAAAACAAATGAATTTTACACTATTATAGCACAACAAGATTCAATATATTTCATGTCCGATCTTAATCTGATTGAAAAATTAAAATTATCAACTACTCATCACAAGTTTAGTTAAACTAATCTATTTTAGATCAAACCTGTTTGTGTTTTTTCTCACACTAGTCAAAGAATGGAATGAATACGGCAATTATCATCGAAAATCGAAACACTTTTACTTTAGAGAAGCTTCTCTACTTGGTTGTAATCAAAATAAAGAACGATTTCATTGGTCATTGCAGCTTATCTTACGCGTGCAGCAATCACTTGAGTTCCGTGAAGATCTTAGCAACTATCATCTTAATATGTTTTACATATTAAACAAGATAAAACTATGCCCATTTGAATATCCCTAGAGAACATTTCCTATGAAACCGTCTTCTTTTCGATAATAGTTAAATTACTGTGCATATTTGAGGATTAGAATAATTTATTAAGAATGTCAAATATTTCTGAAAGTGAATCCACTTTTTGTCGATTTGTTTATTTCATTATTCTTTTACTTCTTTCGTTTAGTTTTATATATGTTGTGCAGTTTCTTTTATTCTTTCGATGCTTTCAAGATCATGGCTATCATGTTTCTATTCTGTATGAAGGATCGATGTATTCTAGTAATATTGAATTTTATTTATGACATATAATGGACAACAATGCACTATGTTGCATTATCTACTAAACTAGAATAGAACAGACATTTTTAATAAAAGGGATAGTCAGTTTTCTATCTATATTAATTAATTACTAGCAATCGGAATGAATTGTTTGACAAGTAAAAGTTTAAAAAATAACATTACTTGCAAAAATGGGACTAAAGCATCTTCAGATTTTTTCATCACGATAATACTACATTTTCTTTGGAAATCATAGTTGACATACGTGCACGTGTAGATTTGAAAGAACTGCTTGCGAGTACGTGAGTGGGTCGGATGTGAATATCAATGCAGAGAATATCACATTCATGCCATTTATGCTTAGTGGCACAAGGCAACATCTTCAAAACGTTCCGCTTCTATTCCCATATTGACAAGCAAGTAGTTGGGGTAGATCAATTAGTTGTTTTTGCATATTTATATTTATACTTTTTGATTTGAATAGCTTTCAGAATGAGAGAATAACAGATACATGTCTGTGAAGTCATACTTGAAACATCGTTTACTTAACGATTGTTCAAGCGAAAGATTGACTTTATAAAGATTTCATAAGTATGAGATACTACTATGTTGATCCATTGGAATTACACCAGTTTTCATTCATATATTTGATTTTGCGGTTTCAACCTTAAGATACTGCCTGATGATATAACTTCAGCACAGGGACGTCTACCATTTTCCAGATATTAATAAATGATTAATCATTCTTAGGCCAACCGATATGCGTTCGATAATTCGTTCGTTCTTGTCATATACAAATATAAATAGTTTCCGTCTTGTATAGAAACGTCTAGTTAGTACACAGAACAGAACTGTATTTAAGATGCGCTACTTTTTTCTTGACTCCTGAATATATATGATTTTCTTGTATAATTAAATGCGTGAAGACCTTCTTTTTACGAGGAAACTGCATCAGATATTCAGATTGTACACGAAGGTATTTTATCCAACAATTTAGAAGAGAACAATGCTATTGTTCGTGTTTTTCCTGGATAAAAAAAAATGCATTGTCTTTAACGAATAACTACAATCCAGAGCTGGGCGAAATATTCGAAGTACTCATACTCGAGTACCATTTTGGTCGTACTCGTACTCGTACTCGAGGGTTAAGTACTCGAAGTCCTATATCAACATTAATTATATCAAAATGATGCTTGATAAAATCATAATGTAGATTTCTTTCTTTCCTTTTATATTTATATATATTGTATTCTGAATGAATCATTCAGATAAATATTTATCCTTCTTTATATGAGCTGGGTCTGAAATACTTATCAGTGCTGGCTACATCAGCTCCTATTGAAAGAATATTTTCTCAAAGTGGATTTGTAATGCGCCCATATCGCGCATCGTTAACTTCAAAAAATGTATGTTTGCTTACATTTCTTAAATGTAATCAAGTTTTGTTGTAGTTTTGTTTTGAAACTTGATGATAAACGTAGTTTAAAAATATTGATTCCTGACTAAGACTATTTCTTGAGCTCACAATTGATACGTAATCCCTAACACTACCAATTAAATTTTCTCTAATAAGTTCGCGACAAACACATTCTCATCATGTACTCGTACTCGAAAAAGTCCGTACTTGCCCAGCTCTGCTACAATCATGAAACATATTTTTACGCTTTTTTTTATTTAAAATCATTCAAAAATAGATTTACAATGAGAAATTAAAAATGTCACATCTTAAAAATAGCCGAGTAAATATATAATGCTTAATCATGTGTGGAATTTTGAGTTTTAATTTGAGTGATTCTTCACTGTGTAATCGTAAATTGTATTGACTATTGGTAAAAATTAATTTATCGGTCTTGAGCTTTTCTTAATATTACGAAAGAGGAATGTGTGCACTAAGTGAACAGAACCATATTCAAAGATATTTTTTATGATACACTCCATCTTCATGCAAGGGGTTTTTACTTTGGCATTCACTAGTCACTTCTAAAGAAGCTTTCTTGCCTTTCATTAATAAATCGATTTCCAATAAAAGCAGAATCTTGTTAGATTTTTTTCTTAAACTGATTTTCCTTTTTTTTTTGCATAAGAAATGTTTCAACGTATGTTGCCTTGAGGTTTCACTCGAAAATGTTTTACCATGAATATATCTTCAAATAGTGACATGCTGAAGAAAATTATTTGGAGTTCTAGTCTGATTATTTCGTTTACATGTTGAATAGTACGCGAGAGAGAATCATGAATGTTAATTACCGTCTCTCTAACGTTAATGTCTTCTGTAATAGAAATTTTTTTCGAAGAAGAAAACATGTCACAGATGGAACCTTCATTCAGATACATAAAACCTTATTCATATTGATAATATGAATTATCTTGGAAGTTACTTGTCCTTGAATGCAAATAGAGTTATTTGGATACGACAACATCTTATAATTCACTCTTGCTCGAAATAATTACACGTGGCCAGTAGTGATGTATTTATTTATCCCCTCTAATATTATGCTATATTTATTAATGTTGTTAGATTTATTCAGATTAGTTTGTCCATCAAAATTTGTAATCTTATAAATAACCTGATCATTAACAACATCTGCCACGATGAAAATACAATACGGTGCTGCAATGGATATTGATCACGCAGCGGGTATTTTTCTCGTGGGCTTGGTTACCGTTGGCCTTGGCCATTAGAATTCATATCTTCACGACGTTTTTGGTCAAGCTGAAACATCAATGCTTCTGTCACGTGGATTAAATGTGACTCGTACTGCGGAAGCTTTCATTTGCGATCTTCCTTATGATGATTGTCGGTGTCTTGTTGTATCGAACACATCTGAGAAATCTGTAACTTGCATCACCTATGATCAACTGGTTGTTAGTAGAATTTTACCATTAGTCTCATTCTTTTTACAAATCATTCTCATTCGAGAGCTTTTCTCATTGAGTGGAAACTATCGTCGCGTTTTGGTTTACACTTTATGGATTGCTTCTATATTCATCTTTATCTGTATTACCATAGGTATCTATTATAGTAGCTGCTACCATGCTCATATAACTGTAACTTTATTCTTGTCTAGTGGGGTATTATGTTTGGCCGCTTTGCACACTTGGACACATAGTAATGATCATCAAAGGTCTATTTCTGACCACCGGACTCAGATGAGGATCTCTCGAGAATCAGGGAAAACTAAAATTACAAGTAGCGGTGAGATAAATTCGAAGTCTTCGGATATAGTATAAAATATTACTTGAGTTTGAGTTAAAATTTTTGAAAATCTATCAAATAGTTTTCGTTTTCTTCATACCATTTTCGAATGAACCTCAAATGTCAAAATATTTGTTGGGTTTCTTTAAATAGAATCATAAATGACTATCTCATCTTGAAATCGGCAGACGAAAAACGATAAGTGTATGAAATACTGATGGTGTTCTCAATTTCTTGTATCTTTAAATGAGAGAAGACCTACGCACAAAATTAGTATCTCAAAGAAAAACTTCTAATTTCTCTTGTATTCTGCTATGAAGGTGTGCATGCTTCTCCGATTCAGCTTTATTTTCTATAACGTGTGATGCATTTGCGCCCTTTTTAATCCTGATTTTGTGTGACTGAAAACTATTTTTTTTCTGTCAATTCTGTTGTCTGCTTCTATTTTGGAGGAAGTATTTTGGGTTTATAGTGAAATAAAATATGAAATAAGACCTGCTGAAAATGGTCTGGCATATACACTAGCATGACATATGGTTTTTTCTTGAATCTTGTCTCGAAAGATGTGGCATGCGCATTTGCCAAAACAACTTATTTTTTATTTGAAAAGGCGAGAGTGATCCGCTCGTTCGACATGAGTAGGCAGTGGTGCATGTGATAGCTTGTGGCGCTCTCTGGAATTACTATACATTGTTTTGTTTTGTTTTCTTCGTCTTATTACTATTGGCTAATGTGCAATCCTATATTATTCTCATCTGCATATGACAAACCGATAGATAGATACACGAAATATTTTTGTATTTTTGAAAAAGAAAATCTATTGTATACGCCTTTTTGTTTAAGATGACGAGTTATACGTTAGGACAAAAACATATTGCACCTACCAAACCAGAACGTGGCGTTTTCCCTCTAGATCATGAAGGTTTTAATGATTTATTTTTCTAAAAATGATTAGAACGAGTTGTAATTATTCAGGTGAATGCAAAGAAAAAATGTTGAAATATATGTTGTGTTTAACACGCAATGATAGTAAACCAAGCAAATGTCAAACTGAATCAAAAGAATATTTTCAATGTCGAATGGATCGGTAAACATGACATTTTCTCTATGATTGGTTCCTTTAAGTTTGATTTCATGTTTAGAAATTTAATGAAAAAACATGAATGGGAAGATTTGGGATATTTCGATGGTCGAGAAAAGCAAACGTCAGACTCAAATTAGTTGACTTTTGTTTTTAATCATTTTGTTACAATTTTGTTAGAGATAAAGTATTGAAACACAGAACAATATGTTTGCTGAACTCTTAAATAGAATTATTAAAGTTGAAATATACTGTTAGTAGTAATCAACAAGACATAGAAATTATATCATTCAATGGAGCACTAATTTGAAATAAGTCTGTGTTAAAAAATACAAAATTTAAGTTAGACTCTATGAATATCTGTTTTGATTTGTATTGCATGAATGTTAATATCGCGAGTGCTTTTCTATAATATGCTTTATATGATTAGACTCCTTACATCGTAATGTTGCCATGAAACATTTCGTTCTTCAATTATATTAGAATGAAAAAGTTTATTACTGTAGCCTCTTCTGAACCAGAGCTAAGGTGCGAAACTCTCATATATACCACACGGTTGGTAAGTTAGTGCAAAACAGCTGAAGTGAAAAATCTGCCTTAACTTCTAAAATCAATAATTAAGACATCCCCTATTTGTTGATGTCTGCAATGGGGAAACGGAGCCGCAAAAATCACACTTTGAAACTCAGCCAACATTTTATTCGAAAATATATGTGAGCCACACAGAAGAGCCCATCGAGTCCAAGAATGCATGAACCCGGACCCGACTAATTTACATGTTTGGGTTTTGCGACCGTATCCGGAGGACCTACATGTGAGGGCGTGGATGCGTTTGGAGATGAATTGGAGAAGTACACGCACATCCAAACCAGGGCTGGGCAAGTCAGGTGTTTTCAAGACAGAAGTCAAGTCTGACTTGGCTTGTCCAGCTCTGAATTCATTCAAATGATATAAATAAATATAGTTCAAATTCAATGAGGTGTATGAACGAACAAAAAAAATCAGAAAAGAAGATACCTCTTAACAACCGTATGACTCAACATGGAAAAATATTTTGACTATCCCTGATTTGATTTAGGAAATCTGTTTAATATATTTGACCTGACTTGATAAAAATTTCTGATTTTCAGAATTTTACTTGACTTGGAAAACCTTTCGAGTAAATTTGATTTTACTAGACTTGACTTGACTTGCCCAGCTCTGAACCCAAACCAGTCATCATGACATGTATACGTATGTGTTGCTAAAGAAAAGAGAAAACAAATGTTGTCGGATTGTAAATCTCACATATAGATATTGTGTCAATATTGTAATATTATTATTGATTAAAAGAGTTCGACTTGTTTATTCGATATTCAAAAGCTTATATATTTGAAAAAGCAAAGATTTAAATATAGAATCAATTAGTTTATTAAAGTCGCTCAAATAAATGAGTTGAAGCACTTGAGAATTTGAACATTTCTATGAATTATTCAAGATTATATAAAATTTGTTCAACAAGGTACATTTTATCTAATAAATAGAGACCACCATCGATTGATGCATTTGCTAAAAAGAACAATGATTTTATAGACAAAATGAGAATGACGAGAAGATTTTTATCTTTTCTCAACTTGTTTTGTTTTTCGTCGCTTAATGTTCATCGACGAACTTCACGATTGATGAGATATTGGGAAAAAATAATGAAGATGACTTGAAAAAATACTTTTTTTTAGCATAGAATAGTAAAAACATGAAAGTTCCAATGAATGTTGACTGAATATCTATGAAAATTCCGATGATGATCTACAACATGTGAATAATTGCTACAATAGATGTGTCATGATAAGAACAATTATCCTACACGCTCGTTTCAGTTCATTCACTTATGCGAAAGTTCATAAAGAACTTTGCAGAGTTAATGAATGATTAGAGAAAAACGTATCTATTTGATGATTATACTTTTGGATATGTCTCAAAATAGAATATAATTCAGCCGTTGTATTTTCTTCATCGTATGTTCAATATGTCAAGAATAAATTATAGAGGATATACTGAATTATCTATCTATATAGCCAGGTGTAATCGTGCATTTAGAGAGCTACAGTGAGTAACTTGTTTGGTAAGACGAGTACAGGTGTGTGTGTGTGTAACTTTGAACAATGTCATCTATGCTGGATTACAATTTCATCTACAATCGTGTCACAGCAATTATCATACCAATTCAAATTGTACTTGGAATTTTAACAAATATATTTTATATTCTTGTCCTCTTACGGCGATCCTTATTACAGAGTTCACCTTGCACCTACTATTTTCTTACAGAATCCGTGATCTCGCTTATTTCTGTAATAATCGAACCAGGACGTCGATTTGCTGAAAATTATTTCAATTTCAGACCCTATACTACACTAGTCGGCTGTACGTTAGTATCTTATCTTCTCACACTGACGTCATTCTATATAAGTATTCGTTTCATGCTTGCTACTTTTGATCGTTTTTGCAAATCATCAACACTAGTTTATGTTCGCAATTGGAATTCAATCGTTGTGGCTCGGCGAGCTATCATCATTATGACATTCGTACTTCCTATTATACTCAGTTCAACGCTGATCGTTTGACATATCAACCATGATTATGGTTATTTTTGGTCTACTCACAATTCTAAATGTTCACGCTGAAAGAAATCGAATAATCCCTGGACTTGGTAATGGGAATCAACAGCGCCGTACAGAAATTCAACTAGCACGAATGTTATTGTGGCAAGTATTTAATTATCTTATCTTTTTTCTACTCATTGGTGTCACATATACATTGGTTGTGGTTAATTCTTCAATGCAAACGACTTTTCTAGACTTTATAATCAACGTATGCTCTGTGTGACTTCAGTTTTTCTTCGTTACACCCTTCTTCTTGTATATTCTAACAGTAAGTCTATATAGGCGTGAATTGAAAAATATTTTGTCGTATCAATATATTTCGAAGAAATCAAACGCTTTTGAACACAGTTACTATGGCTCCTGTTGGCAGAGATCGTACAACTATTCAATAAAAACAAAGCAAAGAATGGTGAAAAATAATATTAACTTGATTGATTTTTCTCAAATATATTTCTGTTTTTTCCTGGTATAATTAATCTAGCTATTATATGAATCATTGTTGTATCTCTGATATATATATTGATACTCTAATGTTATTCGTTGTCTCTACTTTGTCGATCCATACGGACTCGCAACTAATAGAGATAATTTTTCTTTTGAAAAACATAACAGAAATGGCTACTAATTCTTAGTTGATACTATTTTATAGATCACAATCATTACTTTTCCAAGCTGATAATTCAGACCGTACGATTCTTCGTTATAATCAATTCGACTTTCTCTGCAAAAGATAATACCTATGATAAAATTCGTTGCACTTACTTTCTACAGGACAATCAGTTGGTTCTCAATACTTGTTTTTCAGCAATTGACCAAGTCAAAATAATCATCAAGTATATACATATAATGCGCATACTAAATTAAAGAATGCCAATAGCGAAGCAAATAAGTAATTGTACCAGACTCATAAGCCTGGTACTACGTTATAAATATTAGATCTTTTTTTCTGATGATAACAACGCAACTAGTCCTATTTCTTGTTTTCTCAAATAATTATTAACATATACAATAAGAAAATTGCGCCTAGACAATAGAAAAACCTCTTAACAAATAAAGATTCCGATGTAAATATAAAGCAAATTCTCTACAAGTTGTTTTGATCTAAATATTCTACCAGATCCTATGTATACATTTATTTATTATGAACTAGAGTACATCAGATCAAGTCAATTTTGCTTGTATAACAAAAAAAAATATATATATATATATGAAACAATGATGAGAAGACACACATTTAGAATAAATTAAAAAATAAACGTTGCTGGCAAGACAAATAAGACAAATGATTCTTTTTTCCGAGTACAAAAAATAATAATTTTCATTATAATATAAACAAAATTTCAAACAGTCTTCTTTTGTTCGTGTGACTTTTGATGAAAAACAAATGAAATAATATCATCACGCCAGATTTGTTTAAGTAATTGATCGACTAAATTACGTTTGTCCCAACAATGATGCCATTGTGATAAATCACAACCACAATCAGCTTCTTCAGGTGGTGGTTTTACTTGAATTTGATTTATACATCGTTTACATTTAAATCTAATTCAAAGATAATTAGTTTAGAAAACTCAAATCGATGATTTACTTGTCATGAGTATCACTACGAGTATCTTCATTAATGCGAAATAAATCTCGTAGTTCATCAGCTGTAAAATGTCGTTCAACGTCTTCTTCTTGATCAACGACACAACTGCTCAATGCTTTTTTATGTGCTTGCCGTTGAAAGATTTTTTCTTCGAGTGTACCGGTCTAAAATAGTACGAAAACTTGAATTCATTATTTAATAACGACTTTTTCAAAATACCGAGATCAGACGATAAATAAAACATTGTTTTTTCTGTCCATCTCGCCAAACTCGAGCCATAGCTTGATCATCATCTATTAAAAAGAATAAAATTTTAGTTTCGAAAAACGAAATTCTATCTCTTATCGAAAATACTAACTAGCTGGATTCCAATCAGGATCAAACATGACTAAACGATTGGCACCAATTAAATTTAAACCACAACCACCTGCTTTACTACTTAACATGAAGATGAAATCGGCACTCTAATAACACAACGAAGCATAATTTTGCAATGACATGAAATAGATGAGACTTACTTCGGGATTATTGAAACTATCAACAATTTTGCCTCGTTTCTTAATTGACATTGAACCATCAAGACGAACAAATTGATATCTAAGAATTGTAAGAAAAATAGGCAAAATTTGTCATGGATGAAATCTTAATTGACATTCGTATGCAAGATAGTTTTAAAATTCTTATTCTTAAAAGATCAATCTAGAAACTATGGTTTCTACAGTAGGCATGATAATGTAAGCCAATATCTTCTCTTCGTATTCATTAATAGAATGGCAATTAAGGACTTATAAGCTGGATTTCGAAGCATAGAACATAGGATTTTCTTTTGGCAGATTTCATAGAATATGAATAATTCATGATGACACTTGAACTATCCTACAAGATCAATTGACTTTAGTCTAATTTACTTGTTTGAAATCTATTTTTAGAATTTCAAGATTATGCCTATCTTGTGTTTACTTCAAGATAAAACATTCTTTATTTCAAATTAATAATAGGTATACATAAAACCTACAATTTACTCAAATTCTTAGATGAAAACAAGAAAATATCTAATCGGTATTCATGATGTAAATGTATTTTTGATCATTCATTCATAATTCAACCTACCGTCGTTGTTGACATAGCTTTTCAAAAACATCCAATGTTTGGGTATAATTTGAAACAAGTACGACACGATCGTTAGTAGTTGCTTTAATAACAGCAAGTAAATAATCGAGCACAATCATTTTACCTATACAGTATATCGATTCAAAGTAAGACTTTTTTTTTATAAAATGTATTTTTATCTTACCTGATAAAACTGGATCAATTGTTTTTACATTAAAACCAGATGGAAATATAGGTAATAATTTAGCAAAACCATCTACTTTTTCCAAACACTTTTCAAAGATAAGTGCCGGATCTAAAATATTGATTGATATAGTTTTTAACTATCAACGATAAGAAACTTACGATTGCACAATTTCTTTAAACTTGTAATAATCGATAAAGCTGATTGTGAAAATTTTCCATTCGATGATCCAACTTCTGTAAGGCCAGTTTCAACAAATTTTTTATATAATTCAATTTGTAATGGCATTAATTTACAACAGATAACTTGTTCAACTAAAAGAAAAAGATTCTAAACTCAATGAATTCCTCATTAAATAACTTGCTTTTAACCGGTAAATATTTCGTTAATAATGCTTGTGTACGTCGAATAATGCATCGATTGACTATTTGATTTAATTCTTGCAATTTTTCTTGCGCTTGTTGAACTTCTTTGTCGCTTCCGCCTGCATCTCGACCACGTCGAATTGGATTTTCAAATCGTGTTCGAAATTCACTAGATGTACCTTTAATGGCAAACGTTTTTCGGTAAAAAAAATTCCTCGTTCTTATTTAACTTACCAAGAATGCCACTATTAACGAAATGTACTAAACTAAAATATTCAAGTAAATCATTTTGAATTGGTGTACCAGATAATAGAACACGTCGACGACAATCAAGCTTAAATAATGCATCATATGTTTGATTTTCAGCATTTTTTAAACGATGTCCCTAAGATTATTTGCATAAGACTTGCTTTGCTTCAGATCAAATTTAACTTACTTCATCACACATAATTAAACCAACCGTGCCCTTGTGAAGGATAGCAGCATGTGAACGAAATGCTTCGTACGATATAATTAATACAGGACTTCCAGAACGACGTGTTTGAGAAAACATGAATGTTTCTAAAAACAAAATGCTTGATATAACAAACATCGGTTTATCTCTTACAAATATTAGAACATATTTTTACTTTCATGACACAGTACGCGAAGGACCAAAGTTACTAAATCCAAGGCCTACTCAATGAGTTCTAACTCGGTAGAAAAACGAGCAAACTTACTAAGTTGTGCTTCGACTTCAGCTTTTGTACCGCTGTCAATAGGCAATGTACCAAGTCGACCATTCAACCATTTATATACTTCTTTATCCCAATTCTATTATGAAGATATTGAGCTTTTACTTTCATTAAATAGTTAACTTAAAAGAAAAACACGAACTTTAACTAATGATGCTGGACAAACAATAATTGCTTTTTGAATTGTTGGTTTGCAATCCGGCCCTTGTTGCTTAAAAAAGATACGAGTTCTATTGATAAAAATTTGTTAAAATAATATTTACCAATAATGTCCATAAAAGTGTTATACATTGTAGTGTCTTACCAAGACCCTACAAGAAAAAACAACACGATTCAGTTTTATTCTTATAAAAAATAATCATCAGTGTCAAAATACATATTCATAGATATCGTAAAACATGCTAATTTTGTTTCTATGCTTACCATTTCATCAGCCATAATGCATCCATTATAGTTTTCAATTTGAGAACCAGTAACACTATCATAGAGAAATTTGACACCCTACAACCACACGAACGTTTAGTTTGATTAGATTAATTTAAACGAAACTTTACTTCACGTTGATGTGGTCGAAGTATTTTCGATAGTACTGGATCAACAACCACATGAACTTGCACTTTATCTCTGTGAATAGCAAACAAATAGACAAAAATGAAATGATTAGATTTTTCTTACTTGTCGATTTTAAGTTTATCATGTTCACTTAATTCTGGTGGTGTGTACAAAACAAGTGCACCTTCTTCTTCTGGATCATATAAACTTTGTCTTCCACCTGAACGTCTCACACCTAGACCACGGCCTGATAATGGTCCTTTATAATTTGGAATTGGTATTTTAAACGGTTGTGAAAGCAGCGATCGAATAAAAGCTTCCTATTGTATATTAATCTTATTTTTCTTCGTTTCTCAGATTTGTTATTTTTTTTGCGTACTTACATGTTCACTATTCATACTGCCAATCATTATTACTGGATGATTTCCAATTGGTACAAGGGCTTTACGAAATGAAGATATAAATTGGCTTGTATCATAACCTTTATTTGATATTTTTGCATTAGCATAAACCTTAATTTAGCACACACAAAAAAAGAATAAGTATAATTTAGCAAAATCTATACTATTTATTTTACTTTTTTAGGTTTTTCTTTTCGTTTGCGTTTTCCATTTCGTTTTGATCCGTCTGCCTCATCATCATCATCATCATAATCATCCGAATCATTTTCATAATCACTAGAATCATTTAATTGTTTTGCTGCTGTACTTGGTGCGAGACTTCGCCGCTAAAACAAACGAATAGTAAGTTTTTTTGGGAAATTCTCTAAAAGTTTTCTATTACCATGTTTTGAAAGAATAATGAAACGATGATACTGCTAGCTAAAACAAAGAAAGTACCGCTTGTTCGTTAAAACGAAGAAATAATAAGCAGTGACATCTATGGGAGTATTATTTTGTTGATTGGTTTACGATAAAAATGTTTTTTCTTCTTCGTTGTGTTCTCTTTTACCTCAGTCTTTTCTTTTTATTATTATTATTATCATTGAAGCGTACTGATTAATGCAATATTTTGAATGACATCAACAACATTAGAATGTCGGTCGCACTCAAGTGAACGTTTATCTCCTTCTAAAATACAACTTCCATCTATTCGTTCTACTCGTTCAGCATGTGCGATTGATCGTGAATCAACGACATCCGTACCTTCGACTTCATCCTCATCATCCTCATCATTTTCACTTGATAGCGAAACAAAAAATGAGAATATTATTTGTTCATCCATATCCACGCGTCAAAATAATTCGGAATATTTTCGTAAATCAAATTCACTTGATTCCGGTTATAAAACATTGAGTGCAGCTAGTCATGGAACATCACATACGGATACTATTGATGAAGAAAATGAACGTATTAATAGCTTTCTACAAATAGCATCTTCACCGTCGTCTTGTTCATCATCCTCTTATGCTGTATCTAATACAGCTAATAATCAAAAGATGAATTCAAAAATTGAATTCATTGTTGTTGATGATGAAGACGATGTTGATGATAAAGAACCAAGACGAAATTCGAAACCAAATGTTGACGGTAATGATAAAAATAACAAAGTTTTTCTTTCTAAAATAAAAATTATCGTTTTCTTTTTGTAGCATTATCAACAGGTGGGGATCGTCGTTCACGTAAAAGTAGTCTTTCAAATTATTCGGTATCCAATTATAGTGTTCTATTAAATGAATTTTATTGTACATCATCCGATCATATTGATCAAGCAATGAATGATGAAAAAACTACGAAGAAAAAAAGTGGCTTTGCTAATACAGTAGCAACATTTTTTTCATCGAAAAAGAAAGAAGATGAACAACCACAGCAACTGCCTATAACACCAACAAGGAAGCTGACTCGATCAAGAAGTGTATCAGAAGCATCATTAGAACGAACGACTATCGAGTAAGACTTCACTAAAAAGTACAATCACATGATTTTGAGAAAGCAAAAAATATTAATAAATTTGAGTGTAGAGTTTTTACGGATTCAAATCACGCGGCAACTCGAACTTTGATCTTTTTGAGAATGATTGCAAAATAAAATTTTGAAATATTGTTGTTTAACAGCTGGAAATATTATTCAGTCAAGAAAAATCGATGAAACAAGTGAACCGGAAAATGACCCTAATTTGCACCTGTTTTTTTGTTATTGTGTTATTAACTAACGAGAGAACGTTTTCAAGTGATACCAATCATTTGAGCTTACATTTTGCCCATAAGTAGGATTCAGTGAGACTAGAAAAAGTCTAAAAGATTTCGTGCCATTAGGTCTTTCTTTCAAAGTTATTAATATTTTACTGAATTTTTCACCTTGGATAAGTAATTTAAGGAAAAATTGAATGAAGAGATTTCGGGCTGATATTTTGCCTGACAATAGGTCTCATCGATATTAAAAGATTGTAAAACTTTCAGTTAAGACGGACGTATTATTCTCAAAATACTACATATTGAAGAAAACGGTTCATTTTCTAAACATTACCATGAAATTGACTTATCTTCAATATGCAATATTTCGAGAAGAATATATCTGTTTTAACTGAAAATTTTTGCAACTTTCTAATATCGATGAGACCTATTGTTAGGCAAAATATCAGCCCGAAATCTCTTCATTCAATTTTTCCTTAAATTACTTGCTCAAGGTTAAAAATTCAGTAAAACGTTAATAACTTCGAAAGAAAGGCCTAATGACACGAAATCTTTTCGACTTTTCTAGTATCACTTGAAAACGTTCCCTCGTAAGTGTAAATGTTAAATGAATACAGGTTAAGGCTCGATATTCATATAAATCTTCTTTAACTTACCATATAAATAATATTGTATACTAATGAATCACTTATTCGAAAAGAAATATTTTGCATGACACTGATTAAAGAACGGAACTCAGTCTGTTTTTAGCGTAAAGAAAAAAACCTCTGTCTTTGATTGAGAAATTGATTGTATCATAAAAACTTTTATTGTATGGTTGTAAATGAAAGTATTTTATTAACTCATAAAATTTTCTTTTAGTCAAGATTCTGCTGAGCCCATTCAAACACTTTCAACAGAAATCATAGATGAAAAAATCGATAATGAATTAAAATCGAAAACTTTGCCAACAACAACTTATACGATTCCGGCGAAAATCGGAAAGATCTCTACACAATCACTTCTCACAACATCATCTTCATCAACTGGTAATAATCAACCAGCATCACCAAATTCGTTTGGTTGGCTACATCGTCTTTCAAATCGTTTCAATTCCTCAGCATCAACAACTCGTACAGCAACAGTAATGACAAAAACAAGTAGTACGGGTTTAATATTTGAAAATCGCCCAACAAATTTACCACCAAAATCCGATGAAGAAACGCATAAACATCAAGTCGAATATCAAAAAATGTGTCTAGAAGCTAAACGTGCTCAACAATTATTCGATGAAAAAGAAGAGAAACGACAATATTTAAAATTAAAACGTGAAGAATTCGTTTCGAAATCATTAAAAATATGGACAAATGATATATTACCCTATTGGGATCGGTATGGGGGAATACAAAATTGTCCAGATGCAACATTAAATTCTAAAGCTTATAAATTATGGTGGCATGGCTTACCGCCAAGTATTAAAAAATACGGCAAAAAGAATTCGAAATTTTTATTTTTACTTTTTAGGAATACGAGGAAAAGTATGGAGATTAGCTATTGAAAATGAACTTGGTTTAACACATGAGCTTTTTACGCAGCTTGAAGAAATGGCACGAGAAAAGTTAGAAGCAACTAAACAAGTAGATTCTAAAGAAAAAATTGTTCTTTTTTACAAAGAAAAACTTTCCGGGTTTTTAGGCAGAAGATGCACGTAGTAATCACTCAAAATCACCACAATTCCGACCAACGACTTCACATTCTAGTGAAACAACGAGTACATATGTCGAGCTTATTCAATTAGATGTATCGAGAACATTTCCACAACTTGGCCTTTTTCAACAACATGGGCCCTATCATGGTATGTACAATATTGAGATGATACGGATATGCAGTTGATTAGAATTTTTTGTTTTGTTAAAAATCAATTTTTATTTCTGTTGTATTGTTGAAAACGATATTCAGTATATTATTAACCCTAGAAAAGTCAAGAGCACATAAACTAATATGTTAATCTCTTCCGTTTATTAACCGTAAATAACAAATTATATAAATATCAATATAGTATCATTTTTGTCAGAGAATCGATCATAGACCTTCAATAGATATATTTCAGTACAGTTTTCATTTGAAATTTGAACCTAAACTAATGTTTATACTGAGAAAAAAAAACAAATTAACCTTGATTGGATAGAGTTCATAAAGCCCACGTTTATTTATTCTTCTAGAATATCTCCAATTATTACTTTGTATCTATGTATATCTATGTCCTGAAGTTGGCTATGTTCAAGGTCAAGCATTTCTTGCCGGCATGTTTCTATTAAATCTTGATTTATTTGATTCATTTATTTGTTTTTCAAACTTATTAAATCGTCCATATTTTCAAACATTTTATCGTTTCAATAATATTGATAAATATTTACAATTATTTAAACAATTACTGGATTATCATTTACCTAAATTGAGCGCACATTTTATTCATATGTCAATAGAACCAAATTGTTTTGCATTAGATTGGTTTTTTACAATATTTTCAAAATCATTACCTCTTGATGTTGTTTCACGTATATGGGATTTATTTTTTCGAGATGGTGATGCATTTATATTTCGTACAGCGATAGCTATATTATCTCTATACGAAGAGCGTCTATGTCAATTAGATACATTTCATTGTTTGCAATTTTTAACGCGTCTACCTGATGATCTTAATGCCACATCATTGTTTAAAGCAATTGATAAAATAAATTTTGATCATACAAATTGTGAATTATTCTATTTAATTGCTTAGATGAGAAGTTTTTCTTTTCTTTATTTCTATCGACGATCAGATATAGAAGTAGAGAGAACTAATGGCAATATATAACTATCTTCTTTTGTGCACGGCCAAATATATATATATATATGTGTGTGTGTGTATGCGCATTTCTTTTTCCTTCTTTTTGTTTTCTGGTTCTAGTCTATTTGCACAAATTCTTTCGCATTTATTCATATAACTCATGTTTTTCTTGTGAAAAATTTACTCCTTAATACTGCTCACATTTGATTTTGATTTTTTTTTCGTCTTCTCGATGTGATATGATTATCTCTCGATTCTATATTTCGTTTATTTTTTATTGAAATATCCACTTGTTCATTGCGTTAATCAATGTATGAATGTTATTTTAGAATAAAATAAATGTATAAAATAAAAATGAATGATTCCTTATTCAAATCGATTATTAAGGATTATTAATTGTAGGATTAATTATTTACAAATGGCTGGTATACAATCAAATTTTGATTTCATATCATCGTATTGCGAACCAACATTTAATATTGAAAAATATCAATCGAAACAAACGGGAATGAAATTATATCATATTAATGTACCATTACCTTTGATTAAACTTGAGATATGTGTACAAACAAAACCATATGATGATACTGGTTGTGCACATACATTAGGTAAAGATTATTTTTCGCACGATTATTAATAGGAAAATTATTTGAATATCTTCTGTTTCGTAAATGAAAAGTATTTTACGAAACAAAATTTTAATCTTGAGATTCGTATCTGATTCATTCTACTAATGTAAAGTAATTTTTCATTGGGCAAAATTCAATCAATACTATTTTCATTTAATCTGAGAATTCGGTAAACCTATTTTTCACAAATCTTTTCTAGTACTTTAAAAATGAACTTTCTATGATTTCGTATAAAAATTCAATTAAATCACTTCGTTAGTGCCAAAAAACAAGTATCGATAGTATTTATAGTCGAGGTAATTTTATACTCAACTCGGCCTAATTAATGAAACCACCTTCGACTGGTGCAAGTGAAATTTGACAACAAAGCAAATTTGTACTTGGAATCAAATTTCATTCTTGTAAATAAATGTAAACAAAAATATGAAAATGAAATAAGTGTCTGATGTTTACTAATAAAAAAAAACTGAGCTACCTAGTTTTTATAACAATAGATAAATTCTAATACAAAAAGGAAAATCATAGCGAATTCATTTTATTTTTTTTCTCATTATTTAGAACATTTAATATTTATGGGTAGCCGTAATTACCCTCAACAAGGTTATCTGGATTATATTTCTGCTCAACATTATTCTCTGGGCACCAATGCGGCAACACATCGTGATATGACAACATATGAATTAACAACTGTGAATCATAACTCTTTATCGACACTTCTTCCTGTTTATCTTGATCATATATTTCATCCATTATTATTAAATAATTGCTTTTTAACTGAAGTTCATCATATATCCGGTGAGACAGGCGATGATGGCGGTGTTGTTTACAGTGAAATGCAAGCAAGTGAAAATCAACCAGATGAAATTCTCCTCTATTCTATATTACGCGATTTATGGCCAGATAAATCACCCTATTATTATGAATCAGGTGGTCGTCTCGAGTCCATACGAAATGAATTAACATTAGATAAAATAAAAATTTTTCATCAAAAATTCTACGTACCAAATAATGTTGCTATTATTTTATGCGGCGGCGGTATAAATATCGATGAAATATTAGAAATATTAAATAAATTTGAACAAGAAAATTTTCTTCAGTATGATAATCGTCAAAAACTTTCTATGGGATCTTCATTAAATGAAAATCAACGGAAAAAAGCTAAATTAAGCGATGATAATTTTCCTTCGATACAAATTAAATCAGCGAGCTTCGATGAAAGTCCTACTCCACCAGATACAAACAAAAAAGTCAATCTATCATCGATTGACGCAACAAAATTATCAGTTCACACAAATTCATATGAAGCTAATGAACCATCGTTTTGTGATTCAGAATTAATGGTATCACATGGCGAATCATCGGCTGCATCATCACCAGGTTCAGTTTTAGTAGCCTTTGAAACGGAAATCTCCATAGGCCAACGTAATATGGTTGAATATAAAGAAGTTTGCTATCCAGTAGAAGACAATGAAGAAAATTTAGGACAAGTAGCGTTTGGTTATCGATTAGAATCCGTTTATGAAATGGAAATTTATACAGCACTCGATGTTTTATTAACAACATTATTTGATGAGGATATTTCAATTTTTTATAAAGAATTTATAGAATTACCAAATACATTGTGTTCGTCAACAGATCACGATTGGCTTAATTTTCCAGAAAGAGTATTAACCATAACATTTGAAGGTTTGTAGCAGAAGAATTGTTACGTACAAGAGATTTTGTCATAGTATTAGACTCATGTAGTAGGTTTTATTTAAAGTAGAAACGATTTCATTGAAAACAAAATCCTTCGTACATGTTTGAATTTTGCAGAATACAAAAAGTTTTCGAATTATTTATATGCGATTAACTCGAAACTATGTATAGTAATTACATTTACCCAACTTGTTTATGAAGAAGTCGAAAAGAATTTAAACGTCTAGATATAAAACTACCCTAAAGAAAATTGATTTTCTCGCTATGAATTGGGAGTAAATCAGAACGAAAATTGTCAGATGGTTATGCCTATTGACTTTTTCTGCACTTTATTCGATTACTTCTCTCACGTCTAGTAGCCGGATGTCTCACCTGAAAGAATCAGATATTCATTGAAGTTATATTTCTTTTTATTTAGGTGTTGAAATAGATAATTTAACGTTAGTTGCTGATAAATATTCATCTGTACTATATTCAATTATCAATTCTCAAATAGATAGTGGTCAATTATATACACAATTACAAAGGAATATACGGAAGAAAATTGAGGCACATTTAAATGAAGTTGAAGCTGAACCATTCGATTTTCTTACTGGTCTATGTTGTTTGGATCATGTATCAGAATTATCTGCACGATATAGTGAAAATGATGATGAGCAACACTTACATAAATTTTTACAAAATCAGAAATATTTAGAAAGTCTATTGAATAGACCAATACTATATTGGCATGAATTGATTAAAAAATATCTATTAGAATGGGAACCATCAAAACGGACTATTATTTTACTTAAACCAAGCTGTGAATTATTAATTGAACAACAAGGTTAGTTGAAATTTAAATTTCAGGTTATAGCCTATGAACATAGATCAAGTCAGTTGGATAAACTGATTCGTGAGGGGAGATTTTTTTATTTAAAATTCCAAATGAATCACTTATATTCGCAATAGAAGTCTAGTCTAGTTCATCAAAATTCTGAAGGGAACAAGAATAATTATTTCTAATCATGTAAGGAAAGTATATCAGGAAAACAAAATCCAATAGCTTTGCTTTTGAATAGAAATTGACGAGACTATGGTCTATAGATATCATTGGAAAATTCGTATCACAACATTTCACTTGAAAAGAACATAATCGTTTCGAGTTATCAGACATGCGAAAATAATCACATGTCATAATACAAGGTAAAAATGACCTCTGTACTTGTTTTTATCTACGAGTCACATTTGCAGGTTAGAATTGCGTAATTTGACTCTTTCACTATATCTGGTGACAGATAAGAAAAATAATCAACTCATGGAAATTAATTCCTAGAGGATTCTACTAATCACCTAGATGCTTAATTAAGAGTGAAAATTAGTATTTCCGTAAAGAAGTCACACATAGAAACCTGGTTGAGTTAAAGTAATCTTGTATAAAAAAACGAAACATTCGCTATTGAGACTTGCTTCCCTATTGCACAGCTTGATCTCAATAGGAATTCAATTAATAAAATAAACGAGACGCGCCTATCTAGGTATAATTTAGCACATTCAGTCAGTGATAAAATCGAAGTACTAATTCTATTTCAGTATTCAAAGTAGTTTAAACTACAAAGTCTCGCTTGAAAATTAAATTAAAAAAAAATTAACGAACTACTTTTTCACATATAACTTTCTTTTGCTTAGAACAAGAAGAACAACGAATAACACAACGTCGGGATTCACTCGGTCCGAATGGTCTTAAAGAATTAAAAGATGAACTTGATCAAGCTCGTTCAAATAATAAAAAATCAAACTCTGAATGTGGCGATATTCCACATCTACCTACAACAATCAGTGATAAATTACATCTTCCACCGATAGAATATTATTCTAATAAGGATGAAATCGATCTTTTCCATAGTCCGACAAGTCATTTTATACAATACACCTTGCATATTCCTGTGAAAAACTTACCTCCAGATCTTCAATTGTATCTTCCACTTTTTTCCAATTTACTTTTTCATACATCTATTCAGTACGAAAAAATACAGTTGGATAAATTTAATTTTTGTGAACTTATATCTCGCGATATACTTAGTTATAGTATATCAAATGGACAAGCACCATCACCTATACAATCAAGTTATGTTACTGCACATTATATTGATACATTTGCTATTAGTTTACAATCAATAAGTACTAATGAGATCTATAAAAATACCATTGATTATTTTCGTTACGTACTTTTTGGTACAATATTTAACGATCATAAAATAATAATTGAAGAATGTGAAAAAGAATTAAAAAATCTTATCGAAGCAATACAAGATGGCCATACAATTCATTTGGGATTTTTTAATTCTTTAATACATTCAACTAATTCGACTAGTTATTATCATCAAACGAATATTTTTTCACAAAAAAACCTACTTGAGAAAATTTGTAAACAACCAGATAAATATCAGAATGAAATTCTATCAAAACTTGAACGTATTCGATTGTTGATTTTAAAGAATTTATCTCAAATGCATTTCACTATATGTGGAAATATGGAATTAATTGAAGGAAATTGGAATATTGTTCAGCAATTTATGAATGAATGTAAAACAAAGAGTCAAATAGCAATTGAAGATAATCAACTAAAAGAAACGAAAGGAAAACAAATTCCAACAGCATCACCAGCTATAATTATTGGTACTCAACATGAAGAATCAGGGTGAGTTGTTTTTTTTTCTTTTGTCGTATCAGATCTTTCATGTTTATTTAAATACAGAAAATAGTTCAAATAATTTTTCGATCGGTCTAATTAAAGTTAAACTTTTAACGGTAAATAAGAAATTGTTCGCAGAAAAATAATGTACGCAGAAGTATGATAGTAAAGGCATGTTTTCTACTACTGAAGATTGAAATATTCAATACATATATTATGCTCGACATTTCTATTTGATTACGGACATGTTTCCATAATTGAAATAAATAAAAACAATTTCCTCATGATGGAAAAAAGCATAGATAAGTAGAGACAATCTAAATCAGAGTTTGATTGAAGTGAGATAAATTCGAATTTTCGTACTTGGCATTGAATTCATATGTATTAGGATTTTTACATTCCTCACGTACTCGAAATTTGATTTGGTTTTATCGTAATTAAACTTTAGCTATCAAATATCCTTGAATGTACAAAAAAATAGATGAAGTCATAGAGAATCGAAGCAAACACTCTTGACTATGAGTCCTATCCTGTTTATATAGTAATCAATAATTGATCGTGCAATGTGGTAGCAAAAAAATAGCAGTTCTAAAATCGGAAGTAGTAATAATCTGCTGTTGTTTAGTTATGTCATTCGATGGGCACGTCTTCCAATTTGTCAACAAGATTTTGCCGCGCTGCTAATCGTTTCAAATTATCTTGATATGGAAAATGGCCCACTTTGGACTGCTTGTCGTACAAATGGCTATGCGTACGGTGTTGCCTTTGATTTCGATTTTGAAACCAATATCATACTTCTATCCATAAGTCAATGTTCTCAATTAAAATTAGCTTATTCAAGTGCCATGGAAACTCTTAAAAATCTTGTCGAACATAAAACAGCGTTAGATCCACAACGAATGGTCGCTGCAAGAAATTTAACAATTTGTACCTTTACAGAACAGTTAGCCACATTGGGTCGTTTAACGGGTATTTGTATTCGTTCATATTTGAATACATATTCGATTGAAAAATATCAAGATCTATTAAAAGAAATAAATTCATTCACTTACAATGAAGAATATCTATTAAAAATAATTGACAAATATGTATCGCCATTGCTTAATGATAATGATTCGTCGGCATTGATACTTGTTAATACGAGTAAAATGAAAGAAACACAAGAATTTCTTCATAAAGAATATGCTATTAAAAATGTTCAACTGATAAAAGATGTTGTTAAAAGTTTATGTCGATAGACACAAAAAGAAATGAAATAATTACATCGATACAGTGCTACTTTTTTTTATATTTTATAAATAATAAAAAAAGGAAAAATAAACATTGACTCGTTTTTTATTTGTAAAAAATAAGATCATTTTTACAAGATTACTTGTTCTTCAGATGTTTACAAAGCAAAAATATTTGATAAATTTACTTATCGGAAAAAGTGATAGAATTTATTTTGGTAAATAAAAACGAACAATGCAAATTTTCATTTTCTAGCTAATCTAATTAAACAATGTGGAAGGTCAACGCACGTTGGTTCATCTATTTTCACGCTGCCAGAATCACATGAAATGCTTCGAAAAACATGCCGTGATTTTGCGGAACAAGAGTTAAAACCAATTGCTTCACAGCTCGATAAAACACATCGATATCCAACAGAAATTGTTTGCTTTTATTTGAGGAGAGAAAAATTGCAAACTAAATGAAAATATTATTTAGGTTAAAAAACTTGGCGATCTTGGTCTCCTGTGTGTTGAAGTCAAGGAAGAATATGGCGGCTCTGGTTTAGATGCACTTGCTTATGCTATTGCTATGGAAGAAATATCACGTGGATGTGCAAGCAGTGGTGTTATCATGTCGGCTCATAACGTAAAGATTCTATTGAGAAAAATAAGACATGAAATACTAATGTGATAGAATGATTTGATTTTTAGTCTCTTTATATTGGACCTATTTTAAAATATGGCACTCAAAAACAAATCGATGAATTTATTAAACCATTTATAAACGGTGATCGTGTTGGATGTTTTGCTCTTTCAGAACCTGGTGTGTTCTAATTACATGTCGTCGTAGCTACTAAAATCGAATTTCTTTATTATTTTATAGGTAATGGATCTGATGCAGGTGCAGCAAGTACTACTGTTAAAGAACATGATGGTTCAAATTATGTGATGAATGGTACAAAGTCATGGATGTAAGCAGATACGAAAGAAATACTAATTCTATATCTCATTAAATAAATTTTAGTACAAATGGCTATGAATCAGAAGCTGCAGTTGTCTTCGCTACAACTGATAAATCACTTAAGCATAAAGGCATCAGCGCATTTATTGTCAAGAAACCAACGCCAGGTTTATCATTAGGCAAGAGAGAAGATAAATTAGGTATACGAGCAAGTTCAACGTGTAATCTTATATTCGATGATTGCGTAATACCGAAAGAAAACTTACTTGGTAAAAAAGGCGATGGATTCAAAATTGCAAGTATAAAAATCAACTTTAAAATGATTTCTTCGCATTTTATTTTCACGTGTTCAATGTTTCAGTGACTACACTCGATTCAGGTCGTATTGGTATAGCAGGGCAAGCACTAGGCATTGCTCAAGCATCGCTTGATTGCGCACTCGACTATGCACAAAAACGGCAAGTATTCGGTAAACAATTAACACAGCTGCAAGCTATACAAATGAAATTAGCTGGTAAACTATTCTGAAGAAAAACAAAATTTATTTTTTACTCGTTCTTTTCATAGATATGGAAATGCGTTTACAATCTGCTCGTTTCCTAACGTGGAAAGCTGCAACATTGAAATCTTCGGGTCAGCCGTTTACAAAATTTGCTGCTATGGCAAAATTATCTGCATCGGAATGTGCAACGTTCAATGCTCATCAAGCTATTCAAATTTTAGGCGGCATGGGTTATGTTAGTGATATGCCTGCTGAACGTCATTATCGTGATGCACGTATAACAGAAATTTATGAAGGAACAAGTGAAAGTAAGATTTTTTCTTGAATTTTATCAGCACGATTGATCGATGAGATTCTATCATTTAGTTCAACGATTGGTTATTGCTGGCAATCTTATCAAAGAACATAGTGCAACCAATACGTAAAGGCTACGTTCATAATACAGTTCTCGTTTGTAATTCATTTTTATAAAAAAAATAAAAGATTTAGTTTGAGTAAAATTCCATGATTTTATTTCTTTTCTGTATTGAAGTCTTTTTTAAATATGGCTAATAAATTAAAAAAGGATGCTGCTATCATTATCAAGGTAGTAAATTGTTGAAATTTATCTTGACAAATACGATCCGCAGAGCGAACATGTCAAAATCGATGTTTTTACGATAAGAATAAAAATTTCGGTTTAAAATGAAACGCAAATATGTTTTTATTATTAAAAAAAAACAGATCAAAATCTTAATAAATGTAAAAATCATTCATGATTGAATGTATTACGTTGCTTTTTTAGCATAATATTTTTAATGCCGAAGTATTTCATATTCAAGGTACGTCTATGTGAAGTTATTTTCTTTAAGTGTTTACCTACCATTATTATCTCATAGAAATAATTAGCTTCCAGAGCAAGAGTCAACAAAGAGGTTTTTCTTCTACTTCTTCGTTAACATAAAGCTTCTTGACAACGTATTAAACGGAATATGTTAAATGACATATAGAAATCGTAACGACCGACAGATGTGTCGCACATGTAATGCAAATTTATTTTTACTTTTAATAAAAGCAATACTTAAACAGCATTGAATTTTATTGCTGCTATTACTCGGTTTTTTATTTGCTGTCATTGTGAGTGTTGTTAGTCAGTTGTTGTTGTAAGTGGCTTGCTGCCATCACAACAAGTTTATAGTCCGTCGTATAGAATAAGACTGTTTTCGTAGTTTATGAGAGACGACGACGACAAAGAAGAGAAAAAAAGGACAGAGTAGAAAAATAAACAGTTCATTATAAAAATTTAGAAAAAAAAAGAAGAAGAAGAAAGCAACTTATAAAACGGTATGCATAGACGATAGAATCTATTAATTTCTTGACTTTGTAAGTCTGCAAGGTTTCTTTTCTTTTCAAATTGCTTTTCCGGTACGCTTCAAATTCAATATTTTTACTTTTTTTCAATAGAGAAAAATGGCCATTGACGAAGTAATAACAAGATCAAAATCAATGAGCGAATCAACAAGCAATTTTAATATGCTACAAAATGATAAACGTAATAAAGGTTCAAATCTTCCTGCACGTATGGGCTATCTTATTGCTCGTAGACATCGTATTGAACGTTGGGCATATGACGGACGAAGTACATCCATTAGTGCCAGATCATCAACAACATCTGCGACAATAGGATCAATATCAGGACAGAAACGTTCCGAAAGCTCATTTTCACAAATCGATCGTAAGTTTAATTTAGATTTAGTTCAATTGAGTGAACAAAGGCAAAAAGTCATCGAACGAAGAAACTTCGACCAAAAAATATTTGCTAATAAACAAGCAATAAAATATAAAGAAAATCCAGCTATACTTAAGTAATAGAAAAAAACAATGCTGGTTTTTTCTTTTGTTTATTGCAATCTCTTTTTTTTAAATTCAATATAGAACATTAAGCTACGTTCGAAAATGTTGTAAATATGATGATCAAAAGGGTGAGGTAGAAGATAATATTGATCCAAAAATATTTTTGGAAGAAAATTCATCGCCTAAAAGAAGTCGATCAAGATCACCATCTCCAACTAAACGAAATTTATCCATGAAGGCTAGTACACAAACAAGCGCATCGCTTGCCGAAACGTTTCTTAAACATAATCAAAAATATATTCGATCATATGCATCATCGCCAATAAGCAAAAAATTATTTGAAAGTAAAACTTCATGTAATACAGTATGTATTCATTGTAGAATATTCAAATGAGAGCATTGAGTAAATAGTTTTCTGCACTGAATTCCTTTATTCTTTCAGCCAACTACTACAAATCGAAGTGAAACAATACCAACTGATGACGATTTTCAAAAACGTCACGTTCAGTTTCGAATAAATACCGACGGTGAATATTTAATTTGTCAATCGGCTCATGTTAACAGCAAGTCACGTTCATACAATGAAGGCAAGCCACCAATACGAAATGTAATATCAGCCGATGGTATTCAACCATCGAATACATTCGTTGATGCTCGTCCATCTAAATCAGCTCCACCAATTAGAATAACATCATCAGCTCTTGATAGTACAAGTGAGCAAACCAAGCCATCACCAAAACCTAGACGACCCGTATCAAGAATAAGTTCAGCAACAAGTTCTATACAAGACTTTCGTCGTCATCCCGAAAGATATCTAAGTTCATCAAATCGTTATTTACCATTACTTCTTCGACAAATGACAGATATTGACTCGAAAGAGTCCCATAATAAACAACAAAAAGAACGAATTGATTCTATAAGAAAAGGAATGAATTTTTCGCCACCTATTTCGCGTCTTTCCGATGGATCTGATTTAACTTATGATGAAGCAAAATCATTTCTTAGTGAAGAAATTGATATTGCGTGAGTTCGATTGAAATTCTAGGTTCTCATATTTGCTTGCTTTTGTTTTGCTAATAGAAAATTTACACCGCGTGCACCATTACCGTTATGGGCTCAACAAGATCGTAAACTGAATAAGAAATTTCGTCCATCAAGTAAAATTGATTTGTTGCAAACAGTTGTTGAGGATACAACCGAACGTACAATGGCTATGGCACGTCTTCGTGATCGTGAATATGCTCGTTTACACGAACTGATAAATACAAGTCCGATTGGTCAAATTCTTGAGCCATTTTCTGCAATAAAAACGGATGAAAATGTTCAAGTCGATCTTGAACAACAATCCGCGTCGAATATTCAACGACAACCGATTCAATCAACTGTCGATAAACTATCAATGAAATCAACTAAAATACGTCAGCTTGGCGATCTTGTACAGTCAATTGATTCATTACATTGTTCAGATGGCATCGATGGACGTAAACGAAGACAAGTTGATATGGATAAAAATCGAGAAAAATTAGGCATTCTTATATTTTAATTATTAGAAGAAGAAAAAAAAATATATATATATATTTCACTTTCTTTTACCGATTATCTTGTATTTTCGTTTGGTGTTTGTTCTATTCTTAATAAATATATACTTAGGTCTAACCAAAAGTTCTGCAATTTTAAAAAACGAAATTAAAGAAAAGGAGAAAGTTCGAGTTTTATTTTATTGAATGTTGATAATAGCTGTCATGATTATATATATATATATATATGTATATCAAGTTGAATCCTTTCTAACAATTTGTTAAAAGATTTTTTTGAGCTCTTTTTCGAAAAACATTTTAGGTACCTTGGATACCACATGAACTAATCATACTTCAGTGTTTTAAAAATTTAGTGAAATTTTGTTCGATCATGGCAGTTGCGTTCTAGCACTACTAGTGATGGGATATGGATTTATTTTACATAGGTTAGTCATAATCATAAGTCATCTGTTGCTAGCTGGCTTATTGAAAATGAATCGTTAAAGGCAATATATTGTTCATGATGACAGATTTTAACCAAGGCTTTGCTTAGTATATTCTTTAAATCAAATAGTCCTCAGTATAGATAAAGGCAAGACTGCAGGTCACAAGTATTATATTGAAAATTGTCCGACGCCTTTTGTTAACGAAATATGGAAACAAACAGAAATATCAGGGCCAAAATGTACAAAATTGCTTGGCGATCATCGTTGACTCCGTCCTTATTTAATGTTATTAATTAAATGACAGAAGAAGGAATCAATATAATGTCATATCCATCATATTCGCCAGCCCTGATACTATGCCATTTTTGGCTAACCAATTCTATTGGACGTAATTTAACTAATTAAATAAATAAAATATGATTAGTTCATGTGGTATCCAAGGTACCCAAAATTTTTTTCGAAAAAGACCTAAAAAAAATCTTTTAACAAATTGTTAGAAAGGATTCAACTTGATATATATATATATATAATCATGACAGCTATCATCAACATTCAATAAAATAAAACTCGAACTTTCTCCTTTTCTTTAATTTCGTTTTTTAAAATTGCAGAACTTCTGGTCAGACCTAAGTATATATACATATATATGTCAAATAAAAGCATGATATGTCTTAATTCGAACTAAAATTTTCTTGATTGTTAACATATGTATACATCTATCTACTAATTTAAATAGTATGAATAAGTTACAGATTGCTTTTGTTTCCATCCTATATGCTTAATCTATTTACTAAACATCTTCAAACAATAATCAAGTCGATCTAGTGTTACTCATCATTGATATGATTTCTTTTGAATTCTAAGAAGAATATAAATGTTCTTTTAATGTCTCTTTATTCGGTTTTCATTTCCGTATTAGCACAATCGATCACGATCTAAATCGTTTTAAGAACGGAAACAGTTCGATAACGGCCGAGTCGCCAATAGGTAAATAATACTATTCGATTCTACATCCGGCTTTACAAATGCAAGTTTATTTGTAATATAATCAGCATAGTAATAAAAAGAAGAAGAAGAAAAAGCATTCTGCTTTTATAAATGTAAAAATATCGTTTTTTATTATTATTGTTCATTTGTTTCTTTCTTACCTTTTTCTCTCCTGACATAGGAGCACTCTTATGGATAGTCTCTCAACGTACAAATTTTATATACGTGAATATATGTATGAGCATTTACCGATGAGACAATCTATAGATTGACATTAGAGAACAAAGCATTTAGTATATGCTCGTAATAAAAAGGAAAATTTATAACGATATTCTCCGATTGCTCTAAGATTATTTTTTCTTCGTTTGAAAATCTGTCATTGTGCTTAATTATTGAAAACACGATCGGGCAAAAGAAACGAGGGAATAACGATAGAACAAACGACAACAACCAATCTCGCCGATTAAAAGCTTTTTCTATCTTTTACATAATATGAAAGATTGAACAGGAATCTTCATGAATGCCTACTTCTTCTTCTCTTTTTCATTTGAAAATTTTCATACCATGACGATTATCGTGTGAACATCGAAGGCAAGAAAAACCGTCCAATGGTTAAACGAATTCTAAGCCATCATAGTATTAATAGGGCTGATCGTAAGTTGCACACATGCAGATTATAATTAGCATCTCATGAAATTTTGAATTTCTTTTCAGATGAAACCAATGAGGTTGAACGAAGACATTCGTTTGAAAACACACTTCTGACGAATAATCGTACAAATTCAGCGCCGATGATAAGTAATGATGCCTTACTAGAAGATAAAGATGATCATCATAATTCAAAAAAGAAACGTAGTATAACCATTGTTAATATTAGCACCACCGAATTAGCAATTAATAAGCCAGATGAAGAACAACCAGAAGCACGTGAACAATGGAGTAAACAACTTGACTTTCTTTTATCTATTATTGGTTTCGCTGTTGATCTTGCTAATATATGGCGTTTTCCGTATTTATGCTATAAAAATGGTGGAGGTTCGTTTTTTGAAAAACAAATATATAGTTATCTATGCGTATTTTCCTAAAATATTCATTTGAATTTCAATTTAGGTGCCTTTCTTATTCCTTACGTTCTTTCAGTTTTACTCGGTGGTATGCCTTTATTTTATTTGGAACTCTTACTTGGACAATATTATCGGCAAGGTGCAATCACATGTTGGAGAAAAATTTGTCCGTTGTTAGCTGGAATCGGTTGGGCTGTAACTGTCATTGCATTCTATACTGATTTTTATTATAATGTTGTCATATCATGGGGTCTCTATTATCTATTTGCTTCATTCCGGAAAATTTTACCATGGAGTGATTGCAGTATGTCTTTGTTTGCTTTGAAAATCGTTCATTTCTTTGGAGAAAACAAAAAATAAAAATTCATCTTTAGATCATCGGTGGACTACACCAGATTGCTCAACAGTCAATACACGTCGCCGTTTTCTAGAGAATTGTATTAATCAATTGAATAATACTTTGAATACAACAATAGATCTTTCGCGAATAAATCCCAATGAACAAAATTCATTCGAAACCAGTCTATTGTATGAAAATTGCTCTGAAAGTTTAAAACACTCAAAAATTGTTTCACCAGCACAAGAATATTTTCAGTAAAAGTGTTCAATTGAAATTAATTTTAAATTAGTATTTTGTTTTATTTCAGTTTACAAGTCTATCGTCTAGATAAAACACGTAGCCTTAGTTTAGAGAATTTAGGAAATATTAATTGGGAAAATTTGGCTTGTCTTGCAATTATCTATTTAATTTGCTATTTTTCCATGTGGAAAGGTGTTAAAACATCTGGCAAGGTAGCATACAAAAAAAATCAACTATTGATCTTTACTATGATACTTGTGTTTTTCGTTTGTCTATAGGTTGTTTGGTTCACTGCACTGTTTCCTTATGTTGTACTTACCATTCTCATGATACGTGGTCTTTTCCTAAACGGTTCAATGAAAGGTATCGAATATTATATACGTCCTGATTTAAGTAAATTGAATGATGCATCTGTATGGGTTGATGCTGCATCACAAACATTCTTTTCACTGGGACCTGGTTTTGGTGTATTAATGGCATTTGCAAGTTATAATGATTTTCATCATAATGTTTTTCGGTAAGAAAGTTTATTTTCAATTCTCTGGTTCTATTATTATTTTTTTTCTTTTAGAGATGCAATGATAACTGTAGCTGTGAATAGTTTAACAAGTTTTGCAAGTGGTTTTGTAATATTTATGTTCTTGGTAATATTGAATGTATACACATATACTTAAAATTTCAGAAATTTTCCTTTTTTTTCAAGGGTTATATGAGTGAAGTATCAGGACGAGCTATAAAAGATGTAGCCGAACAAGGATCAACACTTGTTTTTATTGTCTATCCGGAAGCGATCGCAACAATGCCATGGGCACCGGTGTGGGCCGTATTCTTCTTTTTAATGTTGCTAACACTGGGTTTAGATTCATCGGTATGTACTATTTACTAAGGTATCGTTTTCCGATGATTCATATTGTTCATATGTTCAATAGTTCGGAGGAAGTGAAGCAATAATAACGGCATTAAGTGATGAATTTCCTGTACTACGTCGTCATCGAGAATGGTTTGTTGGTATTTTATTTTTCTTCTATTTTCTTATTGGTATTCCGAGTTGTACTGATGCGGGAGTTTACTTTGTTGAACTATTACAAAATTATGCCGGTAAAACAAAAAAGAAATGATATGCCTCGATATTCATGGTCTTTATTGAAAATAAACATTGTTTGTTTAGCATTCTATTCAATTATAATTGCCGTGTTTTTTGAAGCAATAGCTGTATCATGGCTCTATGGAATACAACGTATAAGTGAAGATGTTCAAGAAATGCTTGGAACAAAACCAGGCAAATTTTGGATTGGTACATGGTGTTTTGCTGCACCTGCATTTCTTGGAGTAAAGACAAAAAATTAAAAGAAATGAGATGTTTAAAAAAGCTTCGTTTTCTTTAAGGGAATTATTATTTTCGGTTTAGTCCGCTATACGAATCCAAGTTATGGAGAGCCCACTGATCCATTTTATTATAAGGTTTGAGTTTTTTTGTTTTGTTTTGTATTCATCAAAATAATTCGTATCGGTTTCATTTAGTATCCCGATTGGAGTCATTTACTTGGTTGGATGTTTGCATTGTCATCAGTTATATTTATACCTGCTGTTGCTATCTATCAATTATTAATTGAAAAAGGAAGTTTAGCGACGGTAAGAACGTGAATTTTTCTTTCCTATTGAAGCATTCTTTTGTGCTCTTCTTTTCTAATAGAGATTTCGCTTGGCAATAACACCGTGGAAAGAACGGCAAAGAAATCAAAATCCTGATATAATAATTAGTACAAATCATGTATTGAAAAAATATATTTCTGAAGAGACAATTTAATACCTATTTTTCTATTGTGTTTTGCCTATTCAAACTTTATAATAATCTTTTTTTTTCTTATCCTTCTTTGTAATTGTTGTTTGTATACGCGTTTATCTCTCCTCCCTCCTAATACAAATTCTCTCTCGTTTCACATTAGCATATTTTACTTTGGCAAGGTCATTTGAATACATTGTCCTATTTTATTTTCAAAGAAAATCTGCACCTAAATTCTTTCGTTTCTATTCTCAAACAAAAACGATTAAATCCTCATGTAAGGTCATCACACGATTGTTTGATTACTTATGTCATCCATTCTGAATCAAACAAACGTCTTGTATCATCTTCAGCTATGTTGACATTTGAACAGGATCAACTTTCGCATATACATATTCTATCAACCTACCTACTTTGCATAAGAAAAGAAAAAAAGATCGATCATCCTTATCATTAATATCACTTGAGAAAAGAAAGGTCTATTGAATAGGAGTTGTTGTTCTATTCAATCATGAAGGTAAGCAAGAACAGTTGTTCAACACTGTATTATAATAATATTCTTTAGGCTCTTCTGTTTATTATTTTTATTCATTTAATTTCTTCTTCCATCAATGCTGGTAAATGCAAAATGATACTGTGCAGTTGTTACTTTGTGTTTTCATTTGAATTTTTTTCTTGCCATAGAAATTTGTCAAACGGATGATTGTCGTAGTGGTAATTGTGAATTATTACGTCTTTCCAATGGATTAATCAAGAAAAGTTGTCATTGTGCTAAAGTACGCTTGTTTATGATTCAGTTTTTTTTATTTAAATAATTTTCTGTTTGAAAGAATGTTTGCGGTGAAACGTGTCAACGTTTGTGTAATACAACTTCGCCATGTGATACTAATCCATGTTGGTTTGGTGGTACTTGCGTTGATGTAGCAAATTTCGATTATATTTGTTTGTGTCCATCTAATCACTCTGGTAAAAATTGTCGTACAGTAGCTTCATGTCAACGAAACACGTGTTACAATGACGGAACATGTGTAGAAGCTGGTTTGTAGACAAAGAAAAAGGAACTTACTTTAGTTAAGAAAAAAATGCTATTCTGAAATTTGCTTTTAGCTTATGGTGCACGATGTACATGCTCAGCAGATTTCTCTGGTGAATATTGTCAATATAAAAAAAACAGATTACAATCAAAATCAACTGATAATTTACCACATGTTGAATATAAACAATTCGATGCTGAAACATTAGCTGTTATTGCTAATTTAGGCAGTGCATCAAATGGCAATACACAACGCATGAATCCTCCTAGCAGTATTGTCACTGCAGCTCCGGAAACGCATTCACAATTCGTTTTTTGTTTAACAAATCCATGTGACAATGGTGGCACTTGTTTCGTTACAAATACAGCCACGACCAAAGTTCGATTAGAAAAATAGATTTTTTTCTCGAAAGATACGAATGCTTTGTTTTTCTTTGAATAGGGAATTTGTGTTTGTCGTGATGGATATATTGGTGATTACTGTGAACGTTCATTTCGTAATATGACAATTGCTGCTCAAGTACCTGACGGTTATTGTTCGTCAAGTCCATGTTTAAATGATGGTACTTGTGTAGAAGTAGGCGGTTTTCAAGGTTACTGCCGATGTTCAGGAGAATATCGTGGTCTTTATTGTGAAATATCTATACGAGCTGTTTCTTGTAATCCAAATCCTTGGTAAAAAGAAAAATGCTTTTTTTCAATTTTATGAAAATTTTTCTATCCTGTTTCATTTTTAGTAAAAATGGTGGTACTTGCGTTTTATTAGAAAATAATCAAGGTAGAAAGTCCGATGTGCTTGTTTTCTTGTGTTTTCAAATTATTGTACATTTTTAGCACAATGCTTATGTACACCAGTATTTCGTGGTTTAACTTGTAACCAATTTAGTTATGTACCATGTGGTGATGCTACTTGCCATGGTACACAAGTAAGAAACAATGCGATATATTTTTAATGTAACTTTAACCATGATTATTTATTTAAGGGTGTTTGTGTTGCCAATCAATGTATTTGCAAAACAGGTTTTGCTGGTCCACGATGTGATTCAACAGATTTTTGTGCAACATTTCCTTGTCTTAATGGAGGTAATGTGTTTATGATGAATAAAGCATTTCGACATTTTGGCTTTTAGGTACATGCATTCGTACTAATGAAGAACCATATGGTGGTTGTAGTTGTCCAGCTGAATTCTCTGGTCCAACCTGTAGTAATGATCCATGTAGTCCGTCGCCATGTTTAAATGGTGGTTATTGTGTACGAAAAGCTGACAATCAATTTTATTGTCAATGTCGTAATCGAAATAAAGGAATTTATTGTGAACGTAAGATGATTTTAAAAGTTATCTTGAATATTTCTATATGTCTATCGATTTTGTAGAGGTTGAATGTTTTCCATCCGATGCCACTGTTGATGTTCTCAATATTGGTAAAGTTCCATTATCATCTTTACAAATCGGTTCACAAGTTCGTATCATCAATGAAGAAGATCAAGTAAGCTATTCGCCGATCATTGCCTTTCTTCATCGAGAACTTGATGGACAAGCGATATATAAACGTGTTCGTACAAGAAGTTCAACTATTGAATTATCAAGTCGTCATTTAATTAATCAACGTAAAGATGGTTTTGTTTGGGCTGAAACATTAAATAAAGGTGATGAAATACGTGTCTTATTATCGAGCCATGAAAATGAGACAGAATGGGAAGAAGTTGTAGAAATAGCTGATGTTCATAAACAAGGTCTTATGGCTCCATTAACTGAACAAGGTACAATTGTGGTTAACAATGTTCATGCATCGTGTTATGCACTTGTTAAATCTCATAAAGTGGCTCATTTTGCATTAGCACCATATCGATTGTATCATCGATTATTCGGCCAATTGTCTGATACAGATTTAATGACAAAACCGATTCTTTCTTATGCTAGTACACTTCTTCATTTTTTCAAAAATTTACCAATCGCTAAAGACCTTATTTTTTGATCAGTTAAATAATACTTAGACAGATAGTTACAACAGATGAAAAAAAAACAAGAGTAGTCGTAGACATTGCTTGGCATTAATTATTCTTTTTTTTGTAATGTTATATGGTTTCATTTTTTTTGATTAGTTCAAAAAAATCAATTTGATATTTCAAGAATAAAGTTTATAACTGGAATAAAAATTATATTAATTGTATTCTTTTTATGTCGATATCACCATAGCAAAATGCGATCTTTTTTTCGCGGTCATTCCGTTGTGATATAATTAATACACACCCTCATAGAATGATTTGTATAAAAATATTTGATGACAATGTGATATGTAAATACTAGAAGATTAACTATATTTGTTATGTACTTGATGAGATGAAAGCAAAATGATACGAACAAGTTTTGAGCTTCCTTTTTCTTTCTATAGTACAAATACTTATGGGTACATACAAATTTGAATGGATTGTTATGTGTTCATATAATGATCTTATGATATGAATAGATTTCATAATAAATCATCATTGCTCAATACCGATGACACAATTCGATCGAATATGTGTAATCAGTGTGTACCAGAGACCGAAATCGAATATAATGAATAAAAAAATTCAAAAAAAAAGTCGAATTGAATTGAATGGTACTTTCGTCATTCGTTTCGGTCTCTGGTGTGTATTAGTAACATTTTTGCTCATGGTTCACAGGCATACGTATTCAATATATATTTAAGAGTTCAGTTGCATTTGTGCGTGTCTGTTTGTGAATAAAATTCGTTTACAATTTTTATTTCTTATTGTTTAATTCTGGATTCAGTCACGTTCACTATTCTTACCATTTCTTTGGTCTTCACTATTTTGATTGTTACTATCATTTGTTCTCGCTACATCTTCGCTATAATCTGTCATTCATCTAAGGCTCTCGTCAAAATAGGAAGTTACGACCTTTTATTATGAAGTTCATATATTTCTTTCGAAGGTGAACATCAATGATGGACATGGCTTTTTTGTGAATATTCACCTTTAAAGTCAAGGAGTTTAAAAAACAATCATCTGATAATCAAGAAAGTGTTATAGAACACTAGGTGATAGAGAAACGTTTTGCGACTAGAATACGTTGAAGAAGTAGTCTTTTCCTTTGACTCACCAAAACTACAAACTGGCACTCACACTACAAAATAATATTTATCGAATAGTACATATATTTATTATTAGTTCGGTCACAATGTAGAAAATGACAATGAAAATGTGCAATTAGATTATTTTTTCAATCTTTCTTGCGCATTCATTCTGATCATGATTATTCTCTTCGAAGTTGTACTTAGTATATTAACATTGCATTTATATATGAAGTTACACTATAAAAATGATTTCCTATTTGTTATCTTAAATTTTGCTTGAAATTCAGATATGTTCCTAACAATTTTATTCTTTTTATTATTAGAATTTTAGTTTTGTAAAAACTTTAAAATGTAATTGGTAGCAAAACTATTGATTTCATAGTAGAATATTCTATCAAGATAATTTGCATTTATTTGTAGGTGAACTATGACGAGTTTATTATATTAGCAATATATGAGGTGTTCTGATATTAGTCTTGAATGGATTGGATGAAAATAAAAAAAGTTACGAACATGTTTAATCAGTAATCGACTTTTTATGATACATTTACTATTTGAATTAGGACATTTGAATCCAACATGAAAAGTAGTTGTTTAAGTTTACGATACAGTTTCGTTGTTATTCATTGCATTACACCAAAGACGTTAGTTATTCTTGAAAAAAGTAATTACAAATGCGTTGCATCACTTTTTTGGTTTTGAGTACTATATAATTTTTGTTGACAACTACTCTGAAAGAAAAAAAAGGAGTTTTACAGAACTCTTTTAGTGGTTTTGGTATCAGGTAAAACGCAGAACCCTCGAAGAAGGTTCAGTAGAGAAATAACGAAACCATATGTGATTTTTCTTCAAAAAAGGTTCTATCCTACGTATAAAGTGTTCCATTATTTAAATGATTTACCGTTTGGATTTCCTTTATCTCTGTATCCCTATTTCGATATTCATATATCCATACCCTTACAACTTTACCCTTAAAACTATATCCTTATTACTATATACTTTACATCTATACCCTTACAACTATATCCTTATTTGTATATTTCCTAAAAAAGTGTGTTTCCGAGAAAACTTTAGAGCCTTTCCGATTTTGTCACTATCTGAAAACCTTTCATAGTTTCCGAATATTAGTGTTCAAAGTCTTCTGAACCGAAACAAATAGTTACAGTACTTTCTCACAAACCAATATCAGAAACTGCAAAAAGGTTTCAAAGCTCACCAAGGTGAGAATACAATGAAAGATCTGAAAAATGTCGGCAGTCACACAGATTCTTCAATGTGAATTACCCTTGGAATGATACAATCGTAAAAAGATACACAAAAAAAAAGAAATATTGATATTAGTTTTCTATTCTGAAATGAAACTTACCATTTGGATGAAATCTATTTGAAGAATTTCCAACAAAAGAGAAATTGCTATAAGTTTTTTTTATTGTTCGATCATGTGATTCTAAGAAAAAAGCAGTTATAATGATCATTTGAAACCAGAAGTTTGTGGTGTTTTCAATCACTACAACCTTTAAAAATTATTATGGCTATTTTTAGTCGTTTTCCCTTGAAATTTGATGAAACCAGGTAGCTTCAGAGAGTAGCCTTATAGATACGTCCTTATTTCTCTAACCTTAATACTGTATCTTATAGCTATACCTCGTTATCCATACCTTGATATCTACACCATTACAATCCTTTTATTTTCAGCATGCCTTTACGACTATACTCTTATATCTTGGCCGTTTTATTCCCCCTACTGAAAGGAGGGCATTACGAAAAACGAGTTAAATGCGTTCGCTCGTCCAATAGGAAAGCTGATGCATAAACTTAACTAACATCAAACAATATCCTGCAGGGATAGGTTTGACCGAAGGTAATCGGGGTCGGGGAACTGTAATCTGGCGTGAGATTTTCAGAGTTTATGATCCTCAACTTTTTTAGTGAAAAAAACGTTTTTCGAGAAAATAGTGTTCTTTGTAAAGTTTGATCAGATGCTGTCGAGCTCGAGAGAGTCGAATCGGATAAAATCAATATGCCATCAAAACAGAAAAAAAATGTACTTTGAATTAGAGAATCACATTTTAACAAACATGATTATTAAAATTCAGTTGGATTATAGCTTCTCTGTTTGCATGATAAGAAAAACAGACAATGGGCAAAATATCAATATCTTTGAATTAGTATGACGATTAGTAACATGAACTGCATACGTTTTGCTTCGTCTTTTTATGTGATAGTCCTAGGGTATTAATGAACAAATCTGAAAGTATTTCATATTTTTAAAAGGTAGGTGCATCGTTTTCATGATTGTATTTCAACACTCCATTGATTTCAAGCTATGAGTAGAGATATATTTTATTTTTTAATTTAGATTACTTCCAACAAGTTTCATTCCTTTGTTTTTTTTGTAAAATATAAAATTATTTAAGTGACGAGAAACTTCGCCTAGCCAATTGTCTTAATCGAACTATTACACGTTGTTTAGCTTCACGAAGTTTTGTATTTATAAGATCTGAACAGTATAAGCTGCGTTTGAATCAAATTCTGCTGAATCTTTTTATTCAAATTTTCGTTATAGAAAAAGAACTAAGGATACGAATTTGAGAATGAAAATGTTGATCATTTATAAACAGTAAGCAAGATGAAGGTTTTTATCTGATTGCATTATCCATTTTCACGAAAACTTGACAACCACGAAAAGCCTATAACATATTCTACATCCGTTGGCCTTGAAGTTAGATAGTGTTACTACCAGTATTTTGTCTCATTTTAACAGCAACGATGTTTACATTCATACAATTCAGCATCAATAAGCAAACATATGCGGCCTTTTATTTAAATGATTGACGATTAAATATTTATTGATTTTTAGACTAAGGAATTTTCAGGATTTAATAAAATTTATGAAATTAATTGTGAACTTTTTAATCATGCTTAAATCAACGCCAAGTCTGACTGCATAAAATCGACTAAGTGAAAAATATGATCCATATTTTACTTTGTCCAAGTCAAATTCGACGGGAGAAATCGAAAAGAATTTGTAGCATATAGAGATCTTAATTTTAATAAAATCGTTTCAACGAGCATCAGGCGAAATTCCGTTCTTGAGATCATCGCTTCGCATCGCATTAAATATAGTCCTTTTC